CTATTATGGCCACAAAAATAGAGCAGACAACAGTTTAGAAAAACTGATAATGCAAGGAAAAATTGAAGGGAAAAGAGGTAGAGGAAGACCTGCAACAAAGTGGTTTGACAACATTAAGACGATGACAACAAGAAATGTTTATCAGCTCAACAAAGACACTAAAAATAGAGCTGAATGGAGACGTCAGGTTCATAACATTACCAGGGGTCGAACGACCTGAAGGACAACTACAACAACAAAACGTTATTGGAATATTGCTATCAATTCTAATTAGTAGCCACCAGGGATGTAGGCGTAGGTGTAAAAGATTTACAAGGGAGATCTACAATCCTTAGTCCAGGTCAGCATCATTTTCACTGGAAATTTAATTCTGACGTAGGATAAGAGATAAGAGAAAACCATGACTTTGCGGGGGTGGGAGGGGGGGTTATTGTTTTCTAGCTGAAGGACTTTTAAAGGGGGGCCTCAGTGATAAAAACGGCGAATGGTATTTAGAGGGGTCACCTTTTTCGATAACTGAGGCTCTGGTACCCAGGGTAGAACTAAATGAAACATCTAAGTTATTCAAGGTAATGTCTACGTTATTCAAGAAAATCTTGATATGTAATTTTCCAGTCAAAGCATAATAGGGGTTGATGTTTTTATGCAATTATAAAAAGTCCTGTCTTGTCTATTGAAGACAGTAAATAAATGTTCTCAGTAAGAAACTTTCAAGAGTAACGAGTCTTCCTTTCTATGTTTAGATGTCAATTCATGTCTACATTTCTATGAGCATAAAGCTTGAAATGCATCTCAGTCTTCCAGCTGTATCTCGTTTCTTTTGTTTAGTTCACAATGGGAGACATTTAAAACTTATTCATTTTTGCCGGCCCGTAGACTGCTAAATTGGATTGGGGGGCATGGATAGAAATATAGCTTTTTCTATACCTGCCTTACGAATTCTGTCAGAAATACAGTTAAGTATCGTGTTATTGCATTAGGGGCAGTGAGCCCTGGGCCCAATCCTTGCTTAAATGGGACCCCAAATTTTGGAAAATGCTTTTTCAGAACTTAAATACCGCAAAGTGATATTTTTATTCATTCTGTATCCACTAATGTTGAGAGGGTCTCGGTGTTATGGCAACAGAAGTGGGCCCCTACCAAACAATACGAGTTTTTTAACAGCAAAATTAAGAAAAAATTGTAATAATTTTGGGAGGGCCCAACCGGCCAGTCCGCCACTGCTAGACTACAAATTGAACTTTGACTCACACACATTTGTCAAACCTTTGTAAAAAAGCTGCGGCACAACTGAACGTTCTTAAGCGAATTGAGTTTGAGTCATTTATTGGTTTTGCTGAAAAGGAAGTTTTGGTACAAAGTTTCGTGTATTCGAAATTTACCTATTGTCCTTTAGTTTGGTATTTTTCGACTTAAGAACAAAAGGTAACACATTTTACAAGCAAGGATGATAATAGCTATTCAAACGACACAAGTAAAGTTTCTAGGCCCAGCCGAAGGTGAGAAAAGCGGAATAAATACAATAGATAAAAGAACAAAAGAGAAGGGTAAGGCAGTTGGTGAATCATCCAGAAATGCATAATTGTTGGGGAGATGAGATGCAGCAAGTTCTTGAGTATGAAATATGAGTACCCCCATTTTGGGGCCATTGCACATGCGTTGCGTATTATATATTCTGAATCAAAGAGGCATAGAACCCCCCGAGAAAGGAACAAACAGAACTTTGCGATCGAATTTCAAAACTAAGTGAGCGGTCGCAGCTTATCATTCACATTGACATGGGAGTTTGATCATAGCAGAAATATCTTTCATACTGAAAAACCTGCCTGGATTCTCTGTTGTTTTATGTTTTTTGTTTGTATTAAGGCTCACTTTACTTCCAAAGGTAAGCAAAAACATCGAGAACTTTATGACGCGGCCTAAGTGTTTACAGAGAGTAGACATTCGATGTAAACAATACAACCTGATTTTAACTGACCTCCGACACTAGAGCCAAGCCAAGGCAACTAAAACAACAGACAACGTACCTTCAATTCAATTATTCAAATTTTTAAGGCGGAAAGCTTCGAATTTTGATCTTCCCCTTTTGACTACATCTACAAAAAGTTCCGAGGAAACCCCTAAATGAAAAATAAACAACAATACGTCCTTTAAAATTACTGTTCTCGACATGTTTGCGAGATCTCGTTGTGTTCCCTGGCTTTTGGTGTTGAGGATGCCCGGGATTTTGTAGGGATAATTCGTTAGAATACGCATGCGTCCCTGCCCATCGACGTTGATTGGCTCGAACAAATCATTAAGCCTTTTGTCTCAAACAATAGGAGTGAGATCTCATCTCCCCAACAAGAGAAATGTAAAAACGTAAGTATTGTTAGGCAGCTGCTAAAAATGCCAAAGGCATATCGAATTACATGACACACCATTTTTGCAACACACACACACACACGCATCAATTTGTGACACACACGCAGCAAAGTCCGCACACACAACAGTTAACAACTTGGATGCACAAAAATTAAAGTTTGCATGCACAATTTTTTGATTGTGCATACACAATTTTTTGAATGTGCATACACAGTTTTTTGAATGTGCATTCACATTTTTTTAAAACTGCATGCACATTTTTTTAAAACTGCATACACAAAGATAAGTCATTTTTGCCGCAACGGCGCGCCATAAGAATCTGCCTAGGAAACCCTCTGGCACTGATTTGGGTTTATATACAACCAGCATCAGTAGAGCATAGTGATGATAATAAAGAAACCATTTACAGGGGCATAGGGGGTTTAGGGAGTGTGACACCAATTTATCATTAGTTTGTTAGTATCTTCAGTTGGTCCAAAAAATCCCTGGTTTGTCTGTAAACCGTAGATGAAATAGCACCTAAATTTTTCTTCATCTATGTCTTGGTCTGGAAGATCAAGCAACGCCACAAAGATTTCTTTACCAGATTCGGGCAATGCCTTTTTCATTATTGTATTATAAAAAAGAAAGGATCGTCAAGTTTTAGCTTAAAACATAACTTTTACATTGAAAATCTAGTTTCTTCGAGATCGAATTTTCATCTCAGTGGAAATGATTCCTTTCTGACAATCTGTATTTCCAATCCAAATAGCATATTGCTGTATGGATGAGCTGTACGTAGAACTGCATCCTAGCATATTTGAGCTGTTGAATAATAAACCATTAAGGTTTGACATGCCACATGAGTTAAACCACCATCCTCCGGTGCGAACCAGGGCACAATTTTCCTCGACAGATTTGTCATGGTCTCTATCTTTAGTTGAGAACATTTGGTCATTGTGCACTTGAAAACTGAAAGCAAACGCGTTTGAAAGCCCATCTTGCAGACTGCTTGATTCATTGTACTCACCAACAGTTAATCTGTAATTTTCTGTTTCATCGTGAACGCTGAATCTGTTGTATAACGCAAAGAGAATTTTAGAGGAGTTATCAGAAGTCTTTAGCTCAATTCTTAGATTAGCATTTCGCCCAGGTCCGGCAAGTAAGTTCAGATTATCAAGACCAATCCAGTAATTTCCTTCCAAGTCGCCGAATCCAGTTTTATAATCTTTCCAAGATCGGTCAAAGCTAGTCTTGCTATTTACACGTCTTTGAATCACTACCCATCCTTGATGATTAATGTCAAAGCTGCAAAAGACCTGCAGTATCTCAGATGCAAAAGAGTATGGCTTTATCCAGTAGACTCCACTAATCGGCTTTCCATTGGAACCAATGCTGTCACAGTCTTGCGAGACTAGGGGCAGAAAAACTCTTTTTATTGAAACACAGAACGACAGAGTTGAGACCAGATGGATAAAATGCTAAAGGGAGTATTATAATCATTTCATGTTCGAAGTACTCTCCCCTCACAAAAGTAGCATCACCTCGAAGGAGGTGAAATGGCGCTAGAATTATCGAAAGCTATTGTTGTGCGAATTGATTGTGCTTTTAAGTGGCGAATAGGATTTGGGTCGGAAGTGAAACAACCACCAATCAAAACCTCAACCTTTTAAGAGCACTTTTTTTAAAGATAACTGTAAGAAATGTCTTTTAACAGTTTTGACGGGAGCCGCGAACTTTTGAAACCGCTTTCAGCCTTCTTGAATTAGTTGCATATACACTCCCCTCACAAAAGTATTGCACCACCTTGTTCAAAATGGCGGTACTTTTTGTCAACTTTTCAAACCGGATTCATGAAAGCAGAGGTGGAAAAATTTTTTTCTTTCTGGGAACCTAAGAATCTGGCTCAAAACTTTCTGCAAGATTTTAGGGTGTAGAAAAATAAACTTTCTGTATGTGCCTATATATCTCTATACTTAGTTGATGTATAGGAGAGGATAAACTTAATTTTGAGAATTATAATACTTCTCATTAAAATGTTTAATTTGTTTCTATTATAATGCTTAATTTGTTTTTTCTCGAAGTATTGCTATAAAAGTTTAAATCAAATGCATAAAATTGTCAGGCAATCAACTTTTTAACATTTCAGTGTCATTTAACATCGGGGATCCTGACTATTAGTCAATGTCAAAGCCTTAAAAAAGGTGTTATTGTTATTTTTCCATGGTCAACTTGCTTGGCTGTTTAAGCAATCTGTTTAATACTTGGGAGCCACCTTCCTTTAATTGTTCCAAAACAGTCATTCTCAACATATTAGATATGCCTTTATTTAATGCATAAATGCACGTAAGAGAAAAATAAACTTTAGGTAGAAATTGATTGATTTAATCAATCATCATGATGGAAAATCAAAAGTAAAATTCATGCAATAATCTCCAAACATAGTTTCAGAAGAGTCAGGGGAAAAATCATTTGGATTGTATGGTGCATTTGACAAGTGAGAAGCAATATATGGTTGAAATGAAGTCCTAACATGCACCAAATTAATTTAACCAAGCATATTAAAGGCATTGAGTCATGGTAAATAGGGCTTCTCTATAGGGGGTCATTTGGTTTCGGCGTGATCGCTGCTGTTTCATGTGATACTTGCATCCGTTGTTGACAACTTGCTATTGATGGAAATTGTTTTGTCAATCAGTACGAGGTGAGTTCATGTGACCAGTTCCAGGTCAACCAATAGCATGGCAGTCATGAAAATCATGACTCAGCGGATTTTGGCACTTAGGGTATACCCAGTCTATTTATCATGACTCAATGCCTTTAACTTATGATCAATGCTGCTCACACCATGGTGCCACAAACATTTTTTTGTGAAAGTAGATTCCAGTCCCTATATTAATCTCAGTCTTAATCATGGTTTGTCTTAAAAGACCAACTGCCGAAAAAATTCTGGTCGTGAGTGGCTGAGATTTTTGTGAGATAGTGAGTGTAAATTTTGGAGAGTGATGGTGACTGCACAAAGAATTTCTTTCTAATGGAAAGAGACTATTCTCCCACTGTCCTTTGACAGCTCAAATTTAGCTGCTCACAGGCGAGTTGAAATAATATTTTCTGTTAATTTGACTTAACGTCACCAGATTTTATATTTACCTTAACATTTCAAAAATTTTCTGTGAAACTTTCTGCTAATATTTTCATCTAGATAAATTTCTGGGAACTACATTCCCAGGTTCCGATACTTTTTCCACCTCTGCATGAAAGAGCAATGAGAATATCCCATTATGATTATGAATCAACTTTTGAACAACTTTTAATAAATATAAAACAATTACTTACGAAATTTACCAAACATTTAACGGTTTGAATCCACCTTTCATGAATGAAATATTTTCCATAAATGAATGCCCATATTACTTAAGATACTCTCAATTAAAAACAGCGGAGCCACATTACAAAATATATGGATTTAATACCGTATCGTACAGACGTAGCCAAATATGGAACTCAGTTCCGAACGAGATAAAATACTCCCTTACTTTAAAAATATTTGAGAACAGAATCTCCGAATTTACATCGTTCAATTGTACTTGTGATCTTTGCAAGGAATGTGTTAGCAACATCGGTTATATTAGATTTAAATTATATTTAGCGTTGGTACTCTAAATTTGTTGGTTTTAATTAGCTTGAGTATGCATAGCTAGAAATTTTACGAACTTTAAATAAAGAAAGGAAAAAAACCGCACCAATAATTTTAAGGCACGAATTGTGTGAATTAGGCGTATTTTGTAGCAAATTTTTGCGGGAAATTCTTTGAAATTTTGCTGACGCTATAGAAAACCTAATTAGAAATGTAAATATAACGCAAAAACATTTTTGTTTGAAAAAGTGTAGACCATGTTTAAGAGAGAAAATTTGTCAAATGAGAGGCAAGTCGCTATAAAATATTTACGGGGGTAGTGGTCTTTGATTTTTGAAAAATTGTTGACCAAGTTAGATGCAGCCACACAACAGCTGCGAGAAATCAAAAAAGATTTCTCGAGAGTGTTTCAGTAGTAAGTTTCAGAAGCAGTGACCAAAAAAATTGACGTTAGAGGGGAAGAGAATTTGTCTGTTATATTTGACCGTGTTTACACCAAGGGACAGTAAAAGACATGAAACTCGACGATGAGCAATGTTTTGCAGCTCAAAATTCGTCCAAACAAAAAATAATGAGTGTCTTACATAAATGTAAAATAAAAAGTTACCTGAGTAAAAGGCAACCATTTACGATTATTTTCGAACAAGGTAAATTCAAGTTTCTCCGTGGCGTCCATCAAGTCCAGATATGCACATCGTTTAAAATATTTGGCTTCGTATTAAAAAACATTAGTAAGTCCACTGCTCGGTTTCTCGCAAGTGAAACACTCTCGAGAAAACATTTTTAAATTCTCTGTTGTGTGGCTGCATCTAACATGCTCAACATTTTTTTCGAAAATTAAAGTCCTCTTTCCTGTAAATATTTATTATAGTGACTCGCCTCGCATTTGAAATTTTTTCTCCTTTAGGTATGTTCTACTTTTCTATAAACTAAAACTTTTCTTTACATATCAAATTACGTTTTCTACGGCGCCAGCGAGATTTTAAAGAATTTCCCGCCAAAATTTGCTACAAAATACGCCTTATTTACCCAATTCATGCATTCAAGTTATTGGTATGGTTGAAAAGATGACAGAAAGTGCTGCCATTTTGAACAAGGTGGTGCAATACGTTTGTGAGGGGTGTAGACTTACTCCACGAGCCTCTGTTTCGCTACCGCCTCATTTGACGGACGCTACAACCAAAGTAAATAGGACTTTCGGTAATTGTTTTCTTATTTGTACTTTTCTGATCACTTTTTAGACCTAAATTTTGTTGTTCTGTTAGCACATATTCAATTTTGCTGTAAAATCGCTGTTTTTTTTCATTTTGAGCCAACTTTTGTTGCAAGTCGCCTACGTTTCCTTGGTTTTCCCCTACTTTTTCAACTTTTTCCCATAGGTTTCCCCTACCCCCTACTAAATCCTCATTTCCCCTACCGTAGGGGATTGCCATCTGAAGTTGCATATGGCGTTTTATTGAATTACCACAACAAATTCATACTTTTAATAGTAATTAATCAAGTGCTCATAAAGAAATTCCTATTAAAGTAAACGAGGTCTTTTGACAATGTCTTCTTAATGTCTACAGTAATTTTATAAGCCCCCCTCGTATAAGCCCCCCTCGAATAAGCCCCCATCCACGAATGTCAAAGATGAATAAGCCCCCAAGAGGCCAATTCAAGGATTTACAGTATGTGATCAAAATTCCAAAATTTTATAAATATGTTTTTGTGCCGTCTTCACTTAAGAACTCTATTAATTGCCAATACTCATTTCAGGTTTGTTTGTATGAAAGCAATGATATATCATTGTATAAAAGAAATGTAGCCTGTGACAATTTTGATCTTTTTGTGCCTTTAGAAATGCATCAAAATAATCTCAATCTGGGATTATACTTAAAAATAGTGTACATTCTTCAGTTGGAAACATTCGTTAACATCCTTATAATTTGGGTGGCTTTCGTCCATGAGCAGGTCCACAGTTGCCAAGCTGAGACTTATTAGATCCATTTACATTCTTCTTATGCATAAAGATGGCAAACGAAAAAAACAAAAATGGTCATTATATATTGAATAATGAAAGACAAACCTGTTGTCTGAATGCATTGAAACCCTGGACATGAGCAAGTATCTGTACACCTTTCATCGTGTCGACATGGATTAAGCTCTTTGCAGCTTGAACCACGCTGATGGAAAAAAATTCTACAAATATTAATTTTGATGCTTGATTAAGAAATAAACAGCGAAACAATTTTCAAGCTCCAAAACAGTGAAAACAAGTGGTAGTTATTGCTACTGAATGCTCAAGAGATTGCTGCTCTTTATAACAAGATTCGTTGGACAGAAACATAGCGTTTTATGTCGTCATAAATCGTAATTCAGTACTTGATGTAATTGGTATCAAGAGGATGAACAATCTCCTTCCACTTTATGTAATAAACCATGAACCTGAAGCTTTGTTTAATTAAGGTTCTAAGCTTGTTCAAAGGCATAATGTATTGCCTAAACAAATAAGATGGTGTGGTAAATTATCAAATTAATGACTGGTGTCAAAGTCTGTATTTCAATAATTGCTGATCTGCCGTGTGTTTGAAAGCTTATTGTTTAAATGTATGATTAAGATTATAGCTGTCGATGAGTGTTGCGTATTTCGTATATGAAATATTTTCGAAATATATGATGGCAAAGGCAATTAATCTACATCACTGACTAGTTGCTGAGCCTGATGTTAAGAAAGGTGACTGAGGTAGTTGCTTTTATCATATAATAAATCTGTTTAATCGACTCTGCAACTGGAAAATCGCCATGGAATTGAAGAAGTCGATGCTCTTACCATTCGAGTTTTAGTTTCACTTGTCATGAAACTCCATCCTTGTCTACTTATGAAATGCTGAAGAAAATAAGTCACTGAATCAAGTGCCATGTTGTTCAGTTCACAAGTGTTATCATCATTCATCTGGTAATTTATAGAGAAGCACTCGTCGTTTGCCAGACACTCTGCTTTGCATTCGCTTAGTTCCAAGAACTGCTTGCTCTGTATCACAGTCCCAATCATGGAAATATTGTGAAAAGCAGTGGTAAAATTCATCGATCTTTTGCAGGGTAATCGGAGATTATAGCCACCTACGCAGAGGTTCGCTAAAATTGCGTTTAAGGGACTATGAAAAGGAAATAGAATAGGTTAACTGATTAAAATTGAGTAGAGAGCTAGAGAAAACAGTATAGCACTTTTAATGCTTGTCAAAAAACTAGCTTAGCCCACGTTAATGCTCAGTATATAGGAATCTCCTTCCAGAAGAATACTTTGTTAGTGAAAGAACTGACAACATCTAAGAGAAATACAGAACTCGTCAAATCTAAAGTTTTTAATTTAATTAAATTTGTTACAAAACTTTATGTTACTATATGCTCATATTGCATGTTAGATTTCATTCGAAAGAAATTCTTGACTTCTTCAATTTTCAAAACACTTTTTCACCTCTGTAGTTATAGCTGTAGTTATTAGAACAATAGCTCGAATACTCACAAGAAAATATAAAACAGCGACATTTTCTTCGTCAGGTGCAAAAGCTCTGCAATTTTACATTTGAATCTTTATTCATGCCATTCCACTTCCATAGACCAGAACAAAACGGCCGTGTTCAGTTACATCATTGCCATTACTGTGTGTATGAGAGCATTTTGCAGAACTTCTGTCGTTAAAAAGCAGTATAAACGTCATCGAAAATAGACAATGTTCCAGGTCACTTGACCTCACTATGTCCTAACGACGGACAGTTATTTATTACAAAGAGAGCAGAGAAGATTTGTGAGTGAAGTTAATGCATGAAATATCCTTAGAGCATATGTAACAGAAGAAGTGATATCTACATCATAAAAAATTGTTTTTATAAAGCAGTTAGCTTTCGATTCTATTTATCACTGCTTTTGGAATGTTCCTTATGGACTTTTGAATTAAGTGTGACGTCATAGAAAAAATATCTTAAAATTTTTTTTTAAAACTTTATATTTTTGACGATACAAACTTAAAGAACACTAATAGATACCTCTGAAAGTGAAAATTAGTTAGACGATGATCTACTGGCAGGAAAATTGCATTGTTTATTATTCGTAATAATGCTAAATCTTCAAAAATTGAAGTTGCGAGAAGTTGCATAAATGGCAATGCCACATGAAAAAGCATTTAATGGTGTTACCAAATTTAATTTTGCTTGAAACAAATCTCTTGCATTTCAACTAATTAAACATACATAGCTTAAGAACCATCTCAAGAGCAACTATACGGCTCAAGAGAAAATGCAATTAAGTTTTGGGTGAGACTTATTTTAATGCTAGAAATGTGAACACTGGTGACATTAAGGTTATCACTTTTTGCATAATAATAGAGTTTTATATTATTGATAAACAAATCATTCTTTTGTTTTCCTGGAAAATGGAATTTTAATAAAGAATATCCTGGTAAGAATAGCTTGGATAAATTTTCTTATGGATTTGGAAAGAGTTATTTTCATCACATTTTGATATTATTTATTTATGCTAATGTTGCGAGTTTTGGGATCAAACGAGAGAACTTTTAAGAAAAGTTTATCTAGTTGCGTCACAACAAATCATTGTACATACAACTAAGCTTTCAATATTCATATTTTACTCCTCCAGTAAAATGTTTGCAAATACAATGAATTGTTGTTACCACATGCTTTTTTTCAACCTGAGTTAAATTTTTTCCATAGTTCTGCATACCAAATCTTGAAAAATGTACGATTTTAGCTTACATTTAGACCTGGAAATCTTTAACATATTATTATATTATTATTATTTAACATATAACATATTATGTTTTTCAATAAATACATTATTCAGCTAATCAAGCTAAATATTGAGTCTCGTTGTGCATTAATCATTGTTAAAGCAGTTACTGATTATCTTTTCTCTCAATATATTGTAGTTCATTACTGCTAATTGATTGGTATCTGCCTGATTTGCTTAACAAAAACTTGATAAAAAGCGCTTCAACATGAAAATTGAGAAACGGTGCTACGTCAGTTCAAAACTGTTCCTTTCAAAATATTGGCCAAATCTTTTCCAGCTTTCTATTAAGTCACAACAAGTCTTTTATGATCAGAGTTTAAGTATTTAAATTTCAATCCAAACACCAAATGAAATTGATCCACAAGAAATGAAGATCCAGGAATTTAATGTTAGCATATTAATCTATTTATTTGTAGAATAGCCAACAAAATTACCTTAAAATTACCAAGATAAATTGCTTTGTGATTTTCATTTTAACAAGAGTTTGCACTATAGCATGCTAAATTTCCCTTTATTTTTGTAGATTTATGACTGAATTTGTCAAGTTTCTCTCTTTTCTTGTGACGTTTGTGATTGCGTAACGGCGGTCTTTCTGCTTTGGTTATTAGGTTAATCTTCCTACCCGTCTATAAGTGTTTATCTTTGGAGCGCAAACTGGCCAGCATTTTTATGCTACATTGAAATCACCATGGTTCAACTTTAATTAAAAAGGAACTATGTTAATTGCGATGTCGCGAATGGCCATTCAAATTCAGGGCTTATTAGTTGCTGGTAGACCTATATTTGTGCACTTTCTATTTACTAACACTGTTAGTAGACCTCGAAAAAACTTTACCGCAGAGAAAGTCAACGGAATTGCAAAAAGTCACAGGTAAGTTTGAAAAATTTATCATGGTTTTCAACATTTATAATTTACAAATTCTAGTAAAGTACATTTTTTTTCATGGCTGAAATTTTATTTTTATAATCTTAATTTTCGGTATATTAGGGCAACAGGGTTTTAAAGGTAAATGATTTATAGACCTTTTCCATGTTTTCTGTACTCATAGATTTTGTTATCACATCTTCAAGAATGCCATTTTACACTGCAAAAATGTAAACTCTGATAAGCATAAATGTCAGGAAATATCGGGACGGCAAGGGACTTTTTGGCAGCAAATGGCCATTTTGGCCCTGTGTAACTTGCATAAGAGTAAGCCTGAATATCTAGTACTTTCGTTAAAACTCTTTTCAAATTTACAGCAAAGATGAAAGGCATTGGTGTTGTGGCATTGGTACTGTGTCTCGTGATTCTTGGCTGTTCTCAAGGTATGTTTTAATGAATTTCAATAGTTTGAAATTTAAACAAAGACATGAATGACATTTTATGTTGATGACTTTTTAATGCTTTTTATAGAGATAGTTGAACGTTCTCAGGGGTACGTGATTATGTTATATGATGAGGATTTTTTCAAATCAATGATGTTCTAGAGGTCATATTCTAAAATAACTTTATTTCTTTTTCTGTTTGAATAAATTGTTTGTCTAAATATGTTATATGTATTGCTTATTTTCTCTAATCACTAGAAAATTATCATTATTTATTTGACGCATTCTAGTCGCTTTTAGGAATACATAAGCCAAAAATTTTAGTAGTATAGACATTCTGAGTCAGTCCATTCTCTAGAAAAAGCACTGAACCTCTGCATGTCAATGATGACCATATGACAGGAAATATAGTTTACGTATAAGCCATTAAACTAAAGCATTCATAATACAATGAATTAAATATACAAAAGTTGATACTACAGGCGTAAAAGGCTTGTTATTGATGTTGTTAGTGATTCTATGCTGATTGCATTATAGTTGAGAGCTACAGCCATGTGGTGTCAAGAAGGGCTTGTCAGTACAGTGACATTCATATCTATTGCTTTGGAAAACGCAAAATCAAGATCATCGATGCAATGTACGGACGTCAGTCAAAATTGTACTGCATGAAATGGTATGCATGGGCTTGGTCAGTAAACTGCAAAGCAAGGAACTCTTTGGAGAAAGTTATAGAGATCTGCGAAGGGAAGAAGTCGTGCACCGTCTTTGCGAGTGACAATGTGTTCAGCGACCCATGTTCAAGTACAGAAAAGTACTTGGAAATCAAATACAAATGTGATACACAACATGCAACAGCTCTTAAGGTTAAAACAGGTTAAAATGCTAACAACTGTAAACCACTCATCTTCTTTATCTATATCAAATCTTATTTGACACACCTCATTCGCTGAAACTGATCTTACAACATCATCGTTTCAAACACGGTCTTGTACTCTATGGCAGCTGCCTTTTTTCTTTATTTATGAATAGAATATTTGCTTAAAATCATTATCAATTATCTTTTTCTGTAATGTTTATCATTTCCATGACCATGAAAAAAATAATAATCATAATCATGCTTTATGTCTTGTATGCAGTACTTTTTCTTGCACTGCAAATCCTCTTTTAGCAACTAAAATGAAAATTGAATTTTTTTAAGGGACGGAAAAAGTAAAATGAAACCCAATCATGTTTTTTGTAAAGTCGCTGTAAGGCACCGATTCCTAAAAGGGGTCCTTTATGAATCTGTATTGAAGCGGTCATGAAAAAGACGCATGTGTTATGCAATATTTTTACCCAATCGCAACTAAGCTCAATGGCTTCTAGGGCTTTACCGCCCCATATCAAGCTTCACCTTTTCATAGCATGGAATACATAAAATCTTTACGCTTTATGTCTAAGTGACATTATTCATCCAACGAAAGATTAAATCAAGCTCAATGCTGTTCTGCATTTTAGGGCAGCAAAATGCTTGGCAACTTTATCTAAAAATAAATTGTTTTTATGCAAAGCATTGTTTCGGTCGAGCAAAGGAAGTGCTGTTATCTATTAAATACTACTGCCTATATAGCGTGATACATGAGACAAGTATCAAGTGCATACGAACATCAACATTTCATCAGACATTTCACTAGAAACTAGATCATCCGTTTCTTTGGTGGATGCTTTCCTGCTATCACTTGAAAACGTAGCAACGAATGCTACTCTCTATTTGCCATAGAATTAAAGTTATCAGGCAAGTAATTATGAAACTCCGTTTTGAATGCAGCCGTTACTAGCGATACTCGAAAGCATGCTTTACAGCTCCACTTTACACCTGTCGGCGAAATTTGGTGTCGCTTTGTCTTTTCAGAAACACATGTCAATGTTTCAAAGCAGTTTTGACTGAGGAACTTTTAATTGGAAATCATTTTGACTTTGGTCATACAGATAAATCACCGATTAAAACTGTGAGATATTGCTTCCAGATCTCTCCTGTTTTGAAAATGCATAAAGCCCAACTTTTCTGCCAATGATTTATCTTTCTAGAACGTGCACTTGCATGAATTTTTATAAAAAACCGCGAGCATTTTAACAGAAACCAAGCCTCGGGGGGAGGGGGGTACCCTAACATGTTTGAAGGTACGGGGACGTGCCATTATTTAGGGCTACCCTTTTTCTGAAAAGTGCGGAATTATGTGCAGAACTATGGGTACCATTTGAAGAAACATGCAGAATTATGGGTCCCATTTTGGGAAAATATTGCAAAATTATTAGGAGGGATATTTAGCATTAACAAAATGAATGACCAGTTAGAAATAAAACTATGAAATCTGTGTAATATTGAGATTTTGGGGCAAAGGACATGCAAAATTTGTTTAATGATTTTTATATGCTTTAAAAATTTTGTTTGTTTTACGGAAATATGGGTTTAGTTTTCATCTTGTTTGTTGAATTATTGGTCACATTTTTTCAGACATTTGCGGAATTATGGGTCCAAATTTTTAACCAAAATGGCATGTCCCCGTCAAAAATTAGGCTTAGTTTACCCCCGAGAACCAAGCAATAATACAGCAGTAGCAAAAGCTATTCTTAGGCGTTGTCCTCGTTTTTGTTTACATTCCAACCAAACATTGAGGAACAGTTTCTAAAAAAGTGGAGCGAGAATTGAGTATGACTTTGCAGTTTTATTGTTCTTCCAAAAGAATGACGTTTTTTAAATTTTTAAATCTTTAAGGACGTTTTATTTGCCTTATCTCAAACCTCTTGCTTTATCATTTAAAGCTTTGATAAAATTCAAATAGCTGCTTTGTCATCTTGCGTCTTGCAATGATCAAAACAACCTCAGTTATATATAGGTATTTCGAAGAAAGATTGTAATTGAAAAAAAGCTCTCAAAAACTCTTTTACTGCTGGGTCAGTGATGTACTGCTGGGTCACTGACCCCCGAGAAAGAACTTTCGTAAGGTTGTTTAACTGCTAGTTAACAAATGGTATAGGCAATGACCTGATCTTTTTCAACAATGGTAGCCAACATCAGTCGATTTTCATTCAAGATTGGTTTTCATAGTTAAAAAGCAATCTGATATTTTGGCTGTTGTTTTGTGCTCAGAAGAACTGGTTATTCTGCATAAAGGGCCTATAAAGGGCAAAATATAAAGGGCCTATTAAAAAGGTGAAGATTAAGCAAAAGCATAATCGATGATTCTCTATTTTTACCTTTTGCCGTTATTGCAGGAAATAATGTTTTGAAATTGTCTTGCATCATGGCATTGCTTTTTGAAACCAATACTTCATTGAAAGGAGTAGAATACAAATATTTTTAAAAGTAAAAACATTTTTTTAAGTAACATTATTCTGGATTCATCATAAAAGATAAAAGCATACATCGAGCGATAAATATTAATATGTGTATATATCATCAACAAAGCTCCAGTCTAGCTGAAGAAGAACGCATATCTCATTGGAGCTCAGCTCAGCAATTCAGTTCAGCCTAAGCATCTGTAGGTAACATCGAGGTACTTCTCGGTAAAACGACAAGGATCACCAAACACGCCATTACTTGCAGAGATTTGGCATGACGTTTTTCCTTGGCACTCGTCCTTGACAATACTTAGAGAATTCGTTGCTGCGCAGGTTGTGCTCCAAATGAAAGAGTGAATTTTCCAGCATATGTTTGTCGTTTTCCGCCCATACATTGCATACGAGACCATGATCTTTGAGTTTCCTGGGCAGCTCAACGAAATTTCTTTGTCTTCACATACTGTGCTTTTTTTCTCATCAGAAATTGTCACTGAACAGGCAAGGAAACAGAATTTTGTCAAAACGTCAAAATTTGAAAACTAATTCGTTTGGTATAAATGGAAGGAGGTGATGGTTTGGCAGAAAAAGCTTCAAATATAAAAACAAAATATGAATTATATGAATTTATTTATATCGTATTGCTCCTTGTCATTTTGCAATGTTACTGCCCATTGTTCATGCGTTATATTGTTGTCTTGGGGTTTTTTATCCAAAGCAAAATTCAGCCTATTAACATAAAGTCTAGAGCTTCGGCGCATAAATGTATTGCCCTTCTCCATCATGCATTTTTGTAGAAATTGTAACTGCGTAAGTGAGATCTAGGGACGGATTTAACAGGCAAGGATTCGGAGGGGGGGAAGGTTGCTTAATGACTGGACTTTGAGCCACACCCTTTAGGTAACTGGAAATTGATGAAGACGCCCATTTTTAAAACACAGTCTTTAACTTTCAGAGAGAGAAGATAAGAAGATAAAAAAAGCAATTTTCGACATCATTCTGAAACTATTGACTACCAAAAAAGCAAGCATACCGAATCAAAGCAAAATTTACCAAAGAGCACAAAAATATTTGGGGGGGGTGTCGCCCCAGAAAGTCCGTTCCTGGTAAGATCTATAGAAGAGTTCTACAGTTCTTTATAATTTAGGAGGAAAATGTTAGGATGTCGGTCTTATGGCTCATTAAGTGGTAGAATTAGATTTATAATACTACTATCACATACTTGGGCACACTTTTATGCATGGTCGTGTCATTTCAGCAGGGCCGAGTTTGCTACAGTCTTCACCCCCAAATGCTGGTTCTGGATTGTCGCATCTTCTCGAGCGTAACTGTGTTCCGCGTCCACAAGTGCGGCTACATGGTCCATATGCGGACCAATCAGAATAGCCACCGTTCACTAAAAAAATACAAATGTTGATATTCAACGGAAAGACTCCTTGGTCGAAAACTCTTCTTCTCCATTATATTGGCTCGCTGCTCGAGATACACATACGCCGGCTGATTTTACAGACATTGTGTGTTGCAACGGCTCAAAGACTGTTTGGGTACCCCAAAGCATGCCAGTTGTGCTATTTAAAAGTGCTATCACACGCTCTTCAGCAACAGTTAGCGAACCAATGCAATACTGGGTTTGCGCATGCAGTTCGGAAATGTAACAAAAATAAGTGTTTAGATCTCAATCAATTGCACCGAGTTTTATTGAGCGTGGCATCAATTTGGCAATTCAACACGTCGATAATCGCTGCTAGGCAGAGGCCTGACGTAATAATGACGATTTAAACTCAGCTATTTAGGCCTGGTTCAAACGTTGCACTCCTCATGTGCCGAACCCAACTCTGTTTGGAGCGATACTTCAGCATGTTTAGCGCGACCCCGGTTACAAACGTCGAACTTAATTATGTCGCGCCAAACGGGTTTTAGGATTTTTACATGAAATATCTTGGTTTGAAATTAAGAAACAGAGCAAAACGGTTAGAGAATCCAATGTTATGAGATTAATTTTCAAAATAAAATAAATTAAATATAATTATGCATTGAGTTTGGTACATGACAAGTTCGACGCTTGAAACCGTGCCGTGCTGGAGTCGTGCAGCTTGGCAAGCTCTGGCGGTCCAAACTAGTTTGCCGCTCCTAACTAAATCTGCCGTACCAAATTGATTCAAACGTCGCGCCCCTCATGTACTAGATTCTCGAGTTAGGTTCGGCACATGAGAAGTGCGACGTTTGAACCAGGCCTTACACTCTTACAAACCTATTTAGCAAAAATATCAACAAAAATTTACGATAAAAAAAGCTAAAAACAACCAAATTTGAATTTATGAAACTAAGTAAATAGTGCAACTATTTAGGAGGACTCTCAAAGTAGGTTAACTAACGAAACATGAGCCCCTTTTATATCTGCTATGGTGTCTACCTAAAAACATGAAGTCAACGGGAAATGAAAGAAAAAGTGGCACATGCAGGTTTCTAAACATGCTACATCGTAATTTGAAGATAAGATTTCGGTTTCTCTTTAAATTTAGAGGGGAGATTTCTTATTTCCATTGGTAATTCATTCAAAAATGTTGAAGTCCTCGTTAACCTTGAAGTTGAAGAAAAATGAATTCTTCAAACATTTCTTTATTTTGTTGATAAAGGCATTAAAAGGCTTTACCTGGACACGGGTTGGCATTACAAGCTCTAGTTTCACTATCAGCTCCTTCGCAGCTCTTTCCTCCATTCTTAGGGGCTGGCTCTGTACATGAACGATGACGCTCTTGTATTCCTCCTCCACAAGATTTTGAGCACTTGCTAAAGTCCGACCAATTGCTATAACCACCATCAACTATAATTTTAGAAGCAAATTATCCTAACTAGAAATGCTTTTTGTTCATCGTATATGAATTAACATTACATTTAAAGCAATGCTAATGTAAACTTGTCAAATCGTATGTAATGATTTTAATCCCCACAAAACATTCCTTTGGTTTAAAAGTCGCTGGAAACCTAGAAAATTTACGCCAAGCTCAAATCAACTCACTTTTTTCTGAGCAATAAGCAAATCAACTTTTAATTTGGTACAAGGTTGTCACTCATTTTTTGGTTCTTTACTAGCCAATCTGAAACTCATCATATCCTTTGCATAACTTTTAAGTTAGTAAAAATGTTAAAGTTTAAATGTCAGACTTATGCAACAATTTTAGCAGGCCAAAACATTTTGTTTTCATCATATCACTTTTCTTCAAGCTGTCATGTTGAAATTAAAAAAGATTTGTAGAATATGACCCAAACAGATCTTGGTGACACCGAGAGGCTGGGATGAAAAACTACATTGCAATTTAAGACGAAGAGAATCAAAGCGTACGTAAAAACTATACTAGTACTTATATGTCAACATTTTTTTCGGGACAGTCACTGTGATAGAGTTTTCATTTCGAGAGTTATTTTCGACATATATATACGATGACGTCAAGGAATCAGAAAACTGAAGCGTTTATCAAAACTACCTGGAATTCTGTTGCAATAGAAACTCTTCTCGTGATTCAAAAACATCTTATTGCTAATTTTGTTTATAGTATATTGATAATAATATATGTGTTTATTGAAAACACCTCATCTATTTTCATTTAAAGTTTCTAGGTCACGACGATAGATTCCTTGAAGAATGTCGTTTAATTGCTTGTATTCTGCACTTGTTTCACTTCCATATACTGCTGTTGATGACGTGTGTAAATGACTTAGACGCCAATTCACTTTTTGCTGTTTAGGTCATTTCACAAAAATAGCGGTGTTTGCAATGAAAAGTAATCTGTGAGTTCTATGTCATTTACTTAAGCAGTGTCATTGAAACTTGTTTTTGTTGCTCGTCAAGTTGTGCCTTGAAACCGACTTTTCGTAAAAAAATTATTATCTTGTTTTGCCAAAATCGCAGATTATAAATAGAGAATGTCAATTTTCTGTGGCAAAGGACGCAACAAGGGATAATAATGAATAAAGAAATTATCATTATTATTATTGTTATAAGGGTACTACGTTTATGCTCTAAGGATAGAAAGCCTTTCCCTTGTAATTCAAAAAGTATATTAACGATGGCAGATATAACATCAAAAATTTATTGACAAATACTCCTTGCATGTCCGTACACCTATTAGAGCCTGCCATCGGAGAAACATAACCTCGATTATAAAATTTTCATTGTCAAATAAGATGGCATACCTCTGCATGTGTACTTGACCTCTAAGTATTTTTCGGTCAAAAAACAAGGGTCTCCAAAAATGTCGTTTGTTGCTTTGATGCTGCAGGAGGATTCTCCATTACATCTCTTTTGCACCTCACTGAGAGACTTTTTAGACATGCAGTTCTTTGACCAAACGCCATGATAGAACTTGTAGCAGATGTTTTTATCCATTCTACCATAGAGTGCATGCTTAACATCAATATACGCACGTTCATCCTCGCATTTGATTGAAAGAGTTTTTCCCTCGCAGGCTCGTACGACCTTCTCATCTGCGTGTGCCCCTAAAATTATGAACCGCAAATGCGCTTGAATCACTGTTTCCTGGGTGTCTTTTAAAACATACTGTAGAATGAAATATCATGAAAGTTATTGAAGTTTAGAAGTTTAAGTTTAAATGTGCAACTGCAGAGTGGCTAGCAAATTCAGAGACCCGTTTAAGGGTGTGGCAGTTACAAAAAATTTACAAAAAACAAGGAATTATCCTAAATACGCTATATTCAAGTTACTTTCTTAGATACTACTTAATCTATCAATCAAAATGCATCTGACTTCGATAGATAGTTTTCACATTCTTTGAAGCAGACTAGAGCTCTGCTTGTGACTACGATACTCTTATTAAAGGCTATTTTTTAAAAAGGTATATGTGGTGCTCCCGTTATGGTCTTGCTCCCCATATTAGAGCACCAAAGTGACGGTCATCTCTAACGCCAGATTCATAAGAAACAAATTCATTGCGGTCGTGTACTCAATCTCTAAAATTATCAATGGATTCTCAAAAAATTTTCCCAGGCCTGGGAGCCAAGACATTAAATCTATTTTTTGTAAAAAAATAAAAACTCAACATGGCTGGGACATGGCACTTAGACTCAATTTTTTTTCAAATGGGTTTCTTCTGCAGTGCTTTCGTATAACTGCCAGTGACTAGTCCACCTCTCTTGTTCCCTTCGTGGTTCCTCTACTCGCCACTACTAGTAACCGTCGGAAACCCATGATGTTTTACAAATGTTATAATCGAAGATTCAATGGCGTACAAATATCATCTTTGCTATATCATTTTATATCATGCGATTTCCAGTAGGCTATTTATGAGGTTTGATTTTTGCTAGCTTGATTTTGTTGTAAACATACCTTGCGCAAGCAAAGCGAATGCAAGTGCCAACGAAGCAAGACAAGTGCTTGTGATGCTCTAAATCATCAAACAACAAATGCTTAGTAAAAGACTTAAGAAATGTTCAATGATATTATCATGAGCAGATTGCTACCTACAGCAGTTGCGGAAAAAGTCTAGGAACATGTCAATCTATTGAGTTATCAAGAAAAATCAATAATGTAATAATCGATCAAAAGTATTTGCTAGAGCAACTGGTAAGCCAGCATCGCTCACACCTATTTTGATTGAATTATTGTATTGAATTGCATAGTTGACGACTTTTTAAATTCGTAGAATTTCTACTGATTTATAGCAAATTGAACCCCTAAACATGCTACTTGAATTATTTTAGAAAATGATAAAGCATAAAAGAATGTAGCAGCATTATTATCGATTAGGTAACACAACTTTGGCAAATATTCAAGCAACGATACATACCATCATGATTCTTGCTTGACGTTCAAAGTGATATTCCTTATTCTGAATAAAGAAACTCGAGGCGCGACTTTTTAAGCTGATCAAAATATATTATGCTATTTTGAAAAACAATTAATGAACAAAGCTTAATTAATGATATTTTCCTTGTATTGTTAACGTGAAGTCAGTAAACAAGCTCAAATAAAAACCATGGTGATGCATAAATAACGTAAAAAAATTCCCTGGAATCAATTTAATTTAGAGTTCTAGTTGAGGGGCTTTTCCAGGAATAATTTGAGAAATGGCAAACAGTAAATAGCATTAATAAATGCTTTATAGTGGAGCAAAATTGATAGGGCAAAGATCTAAATTTCCGTAAATGTATCATTTTAAATTTAAAGCCAGAAAATTAAACTATTTAGAACGGAAACTCTTTGAAAAATGCGGCATATCAGCAAAAAATAACTAAGAATACGTGAAGTTTTCGAGAATTTCTTCCCACCAAGACCCCACATCACATAGCCGGTAGAGGAAAGTAAAAAGATACAAAAATATCGGCAGAATAATATCGGCATATTTCCTTTTTAAAAATACTTTCTTTACATAATGCATGAACATACATGGCCATTTCTATTTGCTCTTTTTATCATAAGACACGGCTTAATATTCTTCAGATAAATCTTAAGCCAACTTGAGCAATGTTATTGTTGGGTTAGTTTGTGTTTGTTTTCACTTAAAATAATGAACTGCCATGATGACTTATACATAGTTTTTACTATGTTCTGTATTATGTTGTATTATATATTTATAGTTGTATTTTTGTAAAATTTAGAAATATTTGTAGGTTGGATGAGGAAGTGACTCGATAACGTCATGTTTTTACCTCCACCTTAACAATAATTCAATTTGGGTTTTGAATGAGATTTTAGTGTTATAGAAAGTAAATGAATAAAAGAAATATCACTCAACACCTACTCCACTTTTGATCAATAGGCTTATTTCATTTCAATCTCATTATCAATTCAACAAAATGTTGCCGTTCAGAAATTAAATGTATAGCTTAGGAAAGAGGATCATTAGTAACAGCTTCCTGCAAAGTTGTAAAATCAAAAAGGCATTTAAAGGGCTAGTCAGTGACATACTGGTGCCACTACTTCCTTTTATTTTTTCGCAAATACATAATTATATTATATTGAGAATATGCCAGGTTTTGAAGAAAAGCTTAAGGAGATCGGAGATCTTTACCCTGGGTGCCAGAGCCTCAGAGAGTCAAAGGACGAAGAACGGGGGAAAGGAAATGCGAAGGCATTCTCCTTCGCAATTCCTTCCCCCGTTCTTCATCCTTTGACTCTCTGAGGCTCTGGGACCCAGGGTAGGAGATCTTAAGCTTAAGGGTCTCAAAGTTAACTCTTTGCTTTCGTTTGAAGGAACAATATCCTCACAAAATCATAATATCAAGACGGCGCAAGAGAGATGACTTGTACAGTTAGCAAGTAACATACAGATATTTCGTAAAAGCCTAACCATATTATTTTCAGGATATGTCAGATATCAAAGATGAGCTTAAGGAGACCTTCTTTTTGCCGTGATAGTTCTGTACAATTTCTGGCTAAGCTACGTTTGCCTAAACTTGAAGGTCCTTATGAAATTTTGATTATATTTTTCCATGTAATCATTTTAATTTTTGGAGATTATTGAAAGAAAAAGCCTTAATAAAACATTTACATTTATAACTTTCTCTTTATAATGATGTCCATTGAAAGGCAACTTCGTGGAAACAATTCTCAAGTATAAATGAAAACATTCATTTACCAAATTAACTGTTTTCTTGGCAAGCAAAAACTATAAATTATAGCTAGCATTATAATCAAACACGTTTCTATGTTGCTATGGGTATGTTAAATTGATGTGTAGCATGTCGGGCATAGAAATATTAGCCGCGGCTGGATTTTCATGACGTCATAAACGGTGACTAATTTACCAGTTATTCTTTGCATTTTTCCACAGACAGCAGATATAAAGATAAAATAGTTTCACCTTCCTCTGTATATTTCTTTAAAATTTGTAAAAATTGAATAGGCTGTAAAAACAACTTACTACTACTGGGTTATGACACATTTTTACTTCGCATTATGTCAAGCAAAGTCTAAAGACTTGAAAAAGATGTAAAGTATTGCATAGGCCATATAGCCAATACAGTTAACAGCTTATAAGTCGTGTCTTTCTACTAAAAGGGTGGCCTTTAGATTATGTTCAAAGGACCAAAGTTTTAGTTATCTGAAAGTTTACAAAATGCTAATTTCAGTTATATTGATTTATTGACGAAACAAAGTTAATATTATTAAAGGGTTTTTATCGTCAAACAACACAAGCACCAAAAATATGAAAAATGTACTTGGACTGAAAACATGTTGCTAGGTCCTGGTCTGAGTTTATTGAAGTCAAACAGTGAAGTTTGGAGTAATTTTGAAATTGAGGCCATAAAATTGAATAATGCATTACATAGCATTTCAGAAAAATTTTCCGTTCTTTGCAATTTAAATCTCATTGCACTGTTAAAGGGAATTTTAGCTATTAAGAATGAAGAACAGGGCAACCCAGGAACATATTATCAAGGGCGCATGGAGGAAATGAATATGATTTTCTGAATGCCATTTAAGTCTTTTCTCAGAACTGCGCTAAAAGTTATAGTAGAGTTTTTCATTATCCTCTTTCTTTTCCTTATTTAAGCCCTGGTCAAACGACCCAAAATTTCATCCAATATTTCGCCCAACATTTTTCTTTTATGTTTGAACGTGACCCAACGTTGGTGGTCAGACGATTCAACATTTCACCCAACATTTTCACGCGCAGATGGAAGCCATGGCCTAAATTCGTCACTTTCTTCCGTAGCTTCTCTAGGCTACAGGTTATATTGTCCGTAATTTAAGTGTAACTAATTGTAAGCAAACGCGATTGTTGAAACGAACGAAACCAGCCCGAGAAAACGATGATTGAATTTTGGCGCTCCTTAGCCAACTGCGCGTGCGCAGAGCCAACAATGTTGGCTGAGGCGGTCAAACGATCCAACTTTTCACCCAACACTTAGAATTGTTGGGTGTCGGCTGCCAACATATTTGACCTCGACAAAGAGGAAACGTCCAGAGTAAAAGCAAGAAAAACAATATCATACGCAAAAAATATCGAGTTCCATTATCATGTGTCAGAATAAACAGGATAAAATATGACTTTTCGGCAACAATGTCCGCTTTTACTACAAAAACTAGTTCCTAAAACATATAACGTTACCGAAACTATATATCAGCTAGATCCAAAACCTGTCTTTAAGAACATAATATCAACCAAGTAACTGTCATTTCAACGTTAAAGTTTCTACACTACATGCGACTGAGAAACAGCAAAAAATACCCGTTATAATTGAAAAACAAAATACGTCTGTCCTATAATTCGATTTTGAATGATAAAAACGATTTCCCATAATGCAGTTTTATGTGTCAAAATATTACGATTGGCTACCTACCCAGTAGAGATTAAGCGAAATTCCAAGAACGTTTTATGCGGGTCCCTCAGGAACCTCTAGTAATGCTACCTTCTAATATATTTGCATGGTGGAGGTTGTCGCAGTAACTATTGGGAATGACCAGAGAAACGTCACGAATAATGCATATGCGTGTAATTGTATTGTTGTGGTAACTGATAAATGGTAAAGTCGCTAACTCTTTGTTCATTTGGTTATCTTCGAGCGTGAAGAAGATTTAAAATGGCTCGTGGTTGTTCTTAGCGGTATGAAAAAAGTTCTGGTTAAAAAATATGAAAACCAATCGGAATAAAAAAGATGCTTGACCTTAAATTGATAAAAAAATTACGGGAAGAAGACATGGTACGGGTGTGGTCGGTGAAATTATTTGTTTTCTGTGACTTCCTTTCCTTCAGAACAAATACGTTGGAACTCTGAAACGAGTGTGTGATGTCTCTGCAACTATTACTAAATATCAATCTGATAATGATGCCCTGTTGTCTAGCCTTCCTCATTCTAAAGTTAAACTGCATATATAAAATTCATATCTTTGCAAAAGTACCTGTGAAAAATAACCGCTTGGTCCATATAAATGATGAGCAAGCTGAAGACGTCATTGCAGCCAACGATAATATATCCCTCAGATTGTCTCGCTGCGCTGTTGAAGATTGTCCCTGTCCCAGATTAGATTTATTTACAATGTCATTAACAAGCCCATTAACTAAAGATTAAATATGCATTGGTTACACTTAAAGAAGAGAAAATTCGATGAGATAGATTTAAGGTAACGCCCAGCAGGTTAAAGTTCTGTGACGAAAGCAGGCTCCGCCCGATTACCGTTGTTGGCCCTTTGTTTGTACGAAGACTCGTGTGATCTTGTTGTTCTTGTTGTCTTCTGTACCACCTGGGAACAAAGAGCAAAGTTCACAGAGATACCATAGACTAAAGGAGTAACGATTAATAAATCTCGAAGAGCGTTAGCTGAGTCTTTGATTAGTATCTTATGATTTTCTTCATAAACAACAACAGCAAGAGTCAGCAAAGGAGACAAACTTGTAGCTTGTGGAATGCTAGAATTGACTTAAGAGTGATGATATAATGTAGGCTACCGTATAATTTTTTCTTATCTACGAGACTAGAAGAAACAAGGTTACTAATGGTGTTGGTGAAATATGGCATGAAAATCTAGTAAACCGGCTCTGGAAAACCAAGAACCCGTTCTGGGGTTAGCAAAGAACTCTTAAACAAGCTACCTTGTAATGTGAGCTACCATCTGTCCTCTCTTGGGCCAACGGCTGTCTTTCTTCAGCAATTTCGCTTGTTTTAACGTGAGTGTACCACTTCTGGCTACCAGTTTCATTTGGAGACCCACGTTGCGGCTGGTCCCGGTTCCTATAGCCGTTTGAGTTTGCATCCGAACCGTTGTTTGGTGGTCTTGAGCCGTTGTTTGCATTCATGGAATCGAACTTCGAAAAGAACACCTGTGCAGTGGTATTCAAAACAATGAGAGGGTAACTGCATAAAACATTTAACCTTACAGCTAATGCAAAATGTGCTTTACACGAAAATTAAACCAGCTAATCAAAGTCAAAATTACGGACCAATGATTTCTATACAGATTAATGTATGATATGGGTAAGGACAGATTCATTTCAAAGATAAGGATTGTGGCATTTGCATTTTCAACTGAATGAGCTACTCAAGCATCGGTATGAGACAGTGCTTTGGGAACAGTAGCAAAATGTAATGGAAATAATTTGAATTTGCAGGCCCATACTTCACTCGTGTCGCTTCTGTTTGATTTCACTGAAGTCTTGTCAGGCCTTGAGTTAATTCTTCGGTCTGGGACAACATCAGCAGTGACTGTCACCTCGCCACCTTTCTGGCTCCTTGAGCCTAAATTATCATCAGCGGATGTTGAAGTTCTTGCATCACCGATTAATGATGTTGCTTTCATCGAAAGGCGCTTCTGGATGCGAGAGGAACCTGATCCTGGCCCTGGTGAACAAAAACCGGCGTCATTGAAAGACAATCGCATGCAGTCAACACTTTATGAAATACAACAGAAACATATATGTACAAAATATTCAATATAGCCACTATGATTAATTTTACTGAAACTGGCTGCATCATTAACTTAGCACCAGTATCAGTCAATAAGAAATCATATAGGAAGGGAGGGAGGTAATGTTTTGTTTTAAAAAACAGGCATATTATATTATCTTTTTTTCTTTGTTACAATTTCTATATTTGAGAAGCATAACTTTGCATGCCACCCAGAAAACCTACATTATTGTGGTTTGAGTGATCTAAGATATTTGGAGATAATCCGCAACCAGTACGTTAGGAGAATTACAGCCAAGTGTTTGATAATGGCTTTGAGCACTCGTTGCAACATTACACAGTTGACGAATAGAGCCAAAAACAAATACGTCCAAGCGAAATGCTCATTGCAAAATTTAACGCCTAACTGCTTGAAGTGGGTCCGAAATTAACATGTACATTCCTCAAAGCCAAATTCGCAAAGAGCTTTACCAAAGTAGAGAGGTGGCTTCAAAATTCTGATTTGCTGAATTCTGTTGTAGGCCTTATCACCATCGTCATACAAGACAAAATACTTTTCGCCTTCTTTTTTCTCTATAGTTCCACGAAGCATTGCAGATAACCCACTCCAGTGAGCGATAACTTTTGAACCAATTTCTACTTCACTTGGGTTTGGATCCATATCGAATACTACACACTCTTCATCAGTTCTAAACGATAAAAGATCTACTTAAAATACAAATTTCACAAAGTTCGTCTTATATATATCATTCCCGTTTCCAGCTCATTTTTTGATTTGACAAAAAATCTTATATAGCTTAGATAGCTACTTATCAAAGAATTATCAAATGTAAGAAAAATATATTTTATCGTTAATTAATTCGCTGTGTTTCTACTAGTACAATTTTCCTTTAATATCAAGCTATATTGTTACAATTTGACAAAATGAACAGAATTTGACAATGCTGTTTATTCAAAAATATAATCTGTTCGTTACAAAATGATAATATGTTCATTTAGAATAACTGTTAAAATAGCAATATATTTCATGATAAATAGAATTTCAATTTATAAAACAGGCAAGAGTGGCTAAGATAAATTTGGGGATTCTAAGAGCTACAAGGGTTAAACTCACCTATCATGTGCGATTGTATCTCCATTATCAAATTTTATGTAGACTTTTTCAGACAAAGCAGTAACTTGACCGCGATAATAATCACCATTGAATGACTTAGCCCAAACGTTTGAGCCAATTCTGATATATCCTTTAAAAAATGCAAGATATTTAAATGGACTATTGAGTAGTTTCAATGAACGTTATACCAAGGCCATAATTACCGGAAGATCCTTTAATTATACATCGTGCTGCCCTATTGTTAGCTATAGCTTTTGGCTATAATAATATTTTGACGTGTTTCTTAAAATAAAACATTTACGTTGGTTGTACATAACGTATATGCGCGCATGTTGAATTTCTGCATAAATTTATGTGCACAAAAGCACTAATAAATTAAGCGCTCATGATGAATTTCTGCATAAATTTATGTGCACAAAAACACTAGTAAATTTATGGGATAGGGCCGACAGACAGAGTGTTATAAAGTACAGTCTTACCTATAGTGGATCTTTGAGCATATCTCTCACTTCTTGTCCTAAAAATAACAAATCCCAGACAAAAAGTTACAAACAGCAAGAAAAATCTCCGAAATAATTATTCTGGCGATTGAAATATGAATTTTAGAGATTGGAAATTTTGTAGCAAATAGAACAAGTACATAACAGATCTAACCTTTTGACATGAAGAGACTTTCTGGCATTCACACTGTCGTCTTTCTTCGCTTGATGAAGTGTTCTTCCGCTGGAAATTTCAAATTAAAGATTTAAAAATCTAAAGGCGGTTTTCATGACAGCAAGGTGGGGAGTTTTGCGTATTTCAGAAAGATAAGCGAAAATTAAGCTGCTGATCGGTCGCAATTCGTCACAAGGTGTTCTCAATAATTTCATGATTTGGTTACTGAATAATGTGAATAATTGCAAAATTTTAGTATAAATCGTTTAATTACACTAATCTTCATACGTAAATCTTCAATATAAAGAAGATCTTCAAAGATGTGTATTTTTTGGGGTCAACTTTAAACAAATTTGTGAACGGAAAATTTCTAATATCCGTTAAAAATTCTACCTGTATCGAAATTTAGATCCAAAACTCAAAAAACTTGATCTTCTTTTAACTGGTTCAGCTGCTCTTGTCATCCTAATAAAGAAAAGCTTATGAATATTCCTTATTTTTTTCAAGAATCTATAGGAAATTAAGATTTGTAGGAAACATCGTAGGCAATGTAGAAAACAGAATAAATGCAGCTTCATTGAGCTTTTTACTAGTTATCTTAGAAGTGGAGAGACAGAAAAGAAAAATGTTACAAGAAAACAAATGATAACTGAAAAGGGAAAAGGTTTGCAAAAGTCTTATGAATTCAAATTAATGCAGATTCTAACAATCGTGACAAGTAGCTAAAAGAGTATGACAAGCAACTTTGTTTTTATCTCCACTAAGGTGTATGAGTTATCTTACTTTATGCGCTTCTCATGTTTTGCTTCAATCAGCTAAAAGTAGGTGCACTTAACACCACAAATTCCTTTTTGGTATTCCTCTTACCTGAAAAAAGTATGATACTCTACGGCACACTTCCATAAATGCTTGCTGGCCCGTGAGTTATGGAGTGCAAATCTGAATTCTTCATTTCCATTCTGTTTCTAGAATTAACATTATGGCTTAAAAAGTATTTGTATATGACTTTCTAGCTGGTGATGCTACGCTTTCAAAATACTTACAGTCACATCCGAAATTGAGAAAAAATAGAAAGAATCATGTTAAATAAAAATAGCAACATTAGCTGTTTTTAAAGCATGACGCTACAAGAAATATGCTAAGGTGAAAAAATAAGGATTTTCAAAAATTTACCGTTTGAAGTTTCAAGGGGGGGCAAGAAAGGGAATAACGTTTAAATATCAGCACAATATTTTGTGTAAAAATCTTATTTCGTACTAAATTTGCAAATATATAAATAAAAATGTAAGAAAATTACCTCTGCTGCCATAACAAATTCCTTCTTGTGAAATGCAATGTTTGTGATTTTGGGCCTACGATTTCGAATTAGGACCAACTTCATTATTGAAAATATTGTAAATTCTATATCTGGAGAAAACTTTCATTACCAGGAACTTTTACAACGAATAACATTGCTAAAAAAAATGCTCGAGAAGAGAAATAAAAAAATATTTAAGCAAATGAGAAAGGGATGATTTTGAGCGACTTATAATTTTCAAGTGCATAGGAAATGACCTGTGAATAGGCTAGATAAAGAAAATGCACGAGGATACTATTTTCCAACATACCATGGATGTCCTGCAACCCTTTGATTGTCTTTGTATATAAGGATTCCTCGAGCAGATAAGCCAAGCTGGCACTCCTTGCCTTGAATATCCTGCATTTAGAAAAGCACATATTTATACCTGAGCCGTCAAAAATTATACTATCAGATAGTCATATATAGTTTCAATGGTTTTTACTGGGCATGTTTAAGTACTTAAGTTAATACGAAAAAATGTAATTTCTTTTATTCACACGTGAATAAGGGCAGCTTAAACTCTTAGCATCAGCTAAATCAGCCAAACTTCGCGTTTATCCAAAAAACGAAGAGATTTCAAAATAGATATTGCCTCCGAAAATCCTGAATTTCGGTGCCATGGTTGTGTATTAAACTAACGTGAATTTATCCAAACAAGCTACATCTTGCTAGACATTCCCCTTAAATTGTACCACAATTCTGGAACATAGCTCGATAGAAAGCTAACAGGATTTATTGAAATCTGATTCTTAACTCAACAGTATTCAACACAATATACTTCAAGTAAGTCGTCTTAATATATAGGTAAGCTTTAAAAGGTTTTGCAGAGGTTCGCTCATTCGGCTCTGAGACCTCAGATTCAGATCATAGATATTGAGAATTATTTTTAATCACACTAATTGAAGGTGTGGCTTTCCTTTGCACACAAGACCAGTGGCCTTCAAACATATCTCTAAAAAATTCAACGAAAGAAAATGTGCTTGTATTATATCGAGTAAATGCAGATTGTCTTCGGGGCATTCCAGAAGTTAAACATGTGTTTAGCTGTTAGCAAAAAACTTGAATACGTGAAGTCCTTAAGAGAATGATCCACACATATCTTAAAAGATTATACTAGCATTAGCAAAAACTATGGCAAATCCGGTATTTGTCAAATAGTGATCATTTAAATGCTTTAATTGTCTACGGCTCAAGACAAAGGAAACGCTTGAAGCGTATTAGGATTCTAAGGCTTCCTTGAAAAAGCAATGAATTAACCACAGCATTTTTTCCCTTGAACAAGTTCATTCTCCCTGATTTCCTTTTAGCTTCCTGGCAAATACATATCTATCCTCTTGGTGAGCTATGCACGTTTGTTGATTATGAGTTAACAAAGAAATAACACTATAGTCTTCTTTGTTAGCAGGGTGCTCTCTATTAAAGTCCATGACTGACACAGGGTAGTTCCCTTCTAAAAGACTATAGGATGAAATCTTCTTAGCCAAAATAGCTAACTTGATTACCTGCTAAATACTTTCTGGAGAAAACTAATGGCAAGTTTAAACTTTTTCACTACTTTTCACATTGTTGAGACTGATTTTTTAACATCACAGGTTAAAAGAGATTTTTCTAACACCTAAGTCTTTCAACAGCTCTGTTCTAACCCCATCAAAATCCATCATTACTTGATGATTAATCTACCATGCTGACAGAGCAAAAAGAAAAACTTAACGATCATTGATTGTAATCAACAAAAAGGAGGAAATATAAACATAATTTGGTAATTTTAAACATTTTTCCTGCAAGTCGTCCTTGTGCTGTGAATTTTCGGATAGCTTGAGATAAAGCATTTTAAAAACTTGGGTGACATGTGACCCATGATATTGTTTACCTCAACTGGATGCATATCAACACCATAATTTTCCAGGTCCTTTGCGATTTTAAGGAATTCTAACTCACATTCAGCAGGATTTATTCCCCTAATCAAAAAATTCAAGTTTAGATCAAATCTGTCAGGAACTTAAACAAATAAAGCATTTTAATAAAATAAATTGATTGAAAGTTATGGTATAATGCTTTTATTGGCCTGATAATAGAGAAAAATGACCACTCAGAAATTCTAAATAACATATATATCATCATCACAGGAACCCTAGAAAAACTAAAATGACAAAACTGTAACAAAATGAGTTTTAGTAGCAAATTTTTGACTTCTTGTGAAACTTGAGAAACTAACAGTAAACAAATAACATTTATCAATGTTATCATAAAGTATATAAATTAGATCAAAGTTGTCAGGAACTTGAATAAATAAAGCATTTTAATAAAAAAATTGATTGATGTTATTGTATAATGCTTTTGTTAGCCTAATAATAGAAAAAACAACCACTAAAAAATTTTTTAATAACTTTATATTAAGCCTACTCATACTATTCATCACAAGAACTGTGAGATGAACTAAAAATGATAACACTGTAACAAAATGAGTTTTAGTGGTAAATTTTTTGACTTCTTGTTAACCTTGAGAAACTAACAGTAAACAAATAACATTTTATCAATGTTATCAAAAAGTATATAAATTGGATCAAAGTTGTCAGGAACTTAAATAAATAAAGCATTTTAATAAAACAAATTGATTGAATGTTATTGGATAATGCTTTTGTTGGCCTGATAATAGAAAAAAACAACCACTCAAAAATTCTTAATAACTTTATATTTGTTTACTTCTTGTGAAACTGGAGAAACTAAAAACTAACAATAAACAAATTGAAAGCATCAAAGTTCTCAACTTAAAACTTACAACAACTGTTTGTGTTGCCTTTCAATTCTAGCTTCCAACTGTCCAGTCTGAAAGAAGTAAAATAAAATTTAGAAAAACTCCAAAAAATTGCAAGCAGTAGGTGCCACAACTACAGGGCACCCTTATAGCAAGCCATTAAACAGTAATCCTAATTAACCAATTTTGAGATGATGAAAAATATCATATCTGTTTACTAACCTGATCTGGCATAAACCGAAATTCAGACACATAATTCCCAATATGCAAAGTTCGATCGAAATCACCGAGCTCAGCTGAAAGCAAAGAACATAGTTCAGATTGCAGTTCATTCACAACAGCACATGCAACAGGTAAGCGTTTAAAATCATATGCTATCACAATCTATCACATTTATTAAAATGCTATTTTAACTATAAATACATAAATATAGATAGTTTCTTTAGCAAGTTTGTCAAGTGAGTGGCTAATGAATCTATTTGCAGCTAAAAAAATAATTGAAAATGTTCCACACATAATTAAAATATATAGAAACTATATAATATATACAATTTTTACATTCTCAAGAAAGTATCTTAATAAATGAGCTTTTATATATACATACATTGCACAGCATATGCACCTAATCCAGCCATCTGTTCAAATGTTGGCGTCAGCCTGAAAGTCAGAAGTAGCCAAAATGGCATCTAAATTCTCCTCAGATTTTGCTAGAGTTTTTTGCCAAAAAGCTAAGAGACATAATAATGTTCATCTTTTTTCTCTATTTATCTAAATTTCTTCAAAAATTATCACATATGACATTCATTTCTGATGCTTCTACATTTGTGGCAAATTCCAATGAAATGATGATCTTGATTCAATGTCTTTTAGAAAAAATTAAGGGAAGGTCCCTGGTAATGCATTATGTAAAAAGCACAAAATGAGCTAAAATGGTTGATAATTTAAAAGCTAGAAAACATGAAATATTACTTACTTTCCCCTCAATATATCCTGCTTTATTTGTAAGAAATAATGGTACCTGTAAAAAGAAGCTTTTGATCAAAATTTATTGCACTTCCCTAAGGTTATAGCATACTAGCATACATACGAAAAGTGACGAAAACAGAATCGTAACCATCTGCCAATTCATTCTGCTGAACCTTTTTAGTGTCAAATAAAAGCTGAAGAAAATGCTGGAAATACTAAATACATCAAGATGAAAAAATCCTAGCTATCAAAAAATTAAATCTTCAACATGTTAAATGCTGTGTTTTTTATTTCTAGAACTGAACGAGGTTTGTGTGCATGGAGACTAAGGACCTGTTTACACGAGATCGTATCTGTACAGATCTGTACCCAAAGTGGTACGGATAGGCTTTGCGTTTACAAGGGACCTGATGGATCCGATCACATTTTGATCTGCTATCTGTACCCATTTGGGATCCCTTTTGAAGATCATCCTGTTTGGATCTGATCCCAAAAGGGTCTTGTGTAAATGGTTTGGACCAAATCCAAGCAGGTATGGATTCAAAATAACATCCATTATGAGGTACTTTGAATTGGTATTGGAGTGCACACACATATCCTTGCACCTTGGATCCATTTGGATCTATTCCCGTGTACATGTAATTATTTTCAGATCCAATCCCATATGAACAACCCCTCAAAAAATGAGATCGGGTTCAAATGGATCCATACTGTTTGGATCTGATCCTGTGTAAACAGGGCCTAAACAGAAGGAAAAAGTCACAAAATCTGTGCTATGGCACTGATTATCATGTATCTGCTACATAATGATTGCCTCCTAGAGAACTGTCTTGGGAAAATGAATTCATGTTTGTTTGGATGAAACTATGTTCCAAGCCAAAACATTCCACATTGGCTCTGTATTTTGAGCAAATACCTAACTAAGGTATATACCAAATGTCACATATTGTAATAAATGTGACAAACATTTAATGTCATATGACTTGAATTGTTTCTATATCTGTTTTTTGGGTTTAAAAAAACCAATATAGAAAATATTTACCTAGTGAGCTCTTCATGAAGGCTTTCTGGCTCTGCTGCATAGAATTTTACTCTGAAGTGCAATGTGTATGGAGGACCAACTGGAGATAAAACAAAATCAAATGAATAAGCTTTTATAGATTCCACAATGTTGTTTACTGATTTGAGCCAAAAAATTTCAAACAGATTGTTTTAATTACCTGCCAAGCCTTAGTAAAGGCAGTAGCCTTAAATGAAAGCCCATCTACAGAGCAACACACTCAGGGGTAGAAACACTATTTGAATAGGAGATTGTCAATTGACAACTAGGGTTCTATTGCCTTACAAACAATATTAACTTGTTTTTCTATTATGATAATGTAAACATAAAAACAAAGTTACTTACTCTTAACTTGCTTTATCACTTTCTTGGTTGGATCTAGCCAGTGCTATAACAAATACGATTCAGGTTTATAAACATTTCAACGGCTAGTAAACAAAAACAAGTTTTTCATTTAAAAACAAAATAAAACCAATAATTTAGAAAACATAGGGTTTACAAAATTTATTTATTTGTTGCAGTAATCATTCAGAAGATTTCAACTTACAGGAACTTGTTTTGTGTCCATAAACTGGAGACCGAAATAGTCCTTTTCAACCAAATCAAGGTGCATCAGTACTTTTTTAACTAAATCTTGACCAAGTGCTTTTTTCTGTAAGAAAATGGTATCAAATGATTTCTCAAAAGAAGGAGGAACGACAGGGCAAATAAATAGGCCTTTGAGATGATAACAGAAGATTAGTGGGACATGATAGACCTAGGTAAAGTAAGAAACAATGAAAATTTTGTTTCAAGCTGATCTGCAGCAAATGACTTTTTATGTCTTTTCCAGGACTGCAGGATTAAAAGATTGAAACAGCAGCATATATATCCTTTTAACTCTGTTTAAGGTGGGCTGAATAATGTGGACATGCTCATGGGGAAAGCAAGGCAAGATGGATGGTGAGGAGGACACTTGTAGCACCTGAATAGTCCATTACCAATCCAAATCACAAAGAGGCCTGTTTGTCACATCCATGCATTAAGCTTGAGCTTTCCACCATTAAGAGGTGAATAATGATAGGAAAATTATAGAATCAAAAGAAAAAGGAGATACAACAATAGATTAACAGTTCTTAGGGATTTTAGTAAGTTAAGAACAGGGTAGGTTCATCTAGAAATTGGGGGCACCAAATGATCCAGGGTGGAATCCAAGTAACGGCCACACAGGATATATGCCAATAACGATAGAAATATAATGGAATATTGCTAGTCTCTGCCAGATATTCCTTGGGTAAGCTAAAAGGATTCCACACTGGCAAATGGTGCCACAAAGATCCTTAGAAGTAGCATGATTTGTCCATGCATTTACATTTTCAGGCATTTCTGCCACCAGATATGCCAGAAAACTGCACTCCTGTCTCTCCTCAGGAGATACCCAACCCTTTCAATTATGAAAGCCCTCTTTTCAATGTTTGGTGAGCCAAAAAAGCTTCGCTTTGCATCTGTAAAATTGCCTCTTTTTCTCCTTTCTACCCCCACTTTACTCCTTTCTGCAAATTTGTTGCGCAGCGCAATTTCACACATCCAGTTTCAGTAAATGTGATAGTGTTCAGATCTTTGCAGCAGTTTATGTTTCATGCAAATATAAATTTGTATTTTGTCTGCACTTGATGTATCAAATATGTACACAGGTGAGTTGATATTAGCCTCTGACAAAATGGGTTGATATATAGCAGCTTTCTATTCATTTTTGCCATTAAATTTTCATCCCAAAAACCGAAGTTTCATTTTGTAAACAAAAATGATACTGAAAGAGATGTTTTTGCGTAACTAGGTAGACACAGGGTTATGTCATTTAAGCCAATATCTGAAGACAAGATAAAATAAAAATCAACTAGGAAATAATTTGCCGCATAAAGTAATACTTGGAGTTCAGAGAGAAATTAAGGACAATCCTTGCCACAAAAAGGGCAAGAGACACAACTGAAGTTGTTACTGGATGTGATATGATAATGGGTGAACATTCATAACAAAAGAAGTCAGTTCAATTGACAACTTTCAAGTTCAAAATGTCACTCCCTGTACAAAACGTATTTGCTCAATGAAAAGAGCATGAAATACTTCCCGAAATACAATAGTAACATTTTAATTGTTACCTCTACATCGATAGTCAAGTCACTGCCATCAAGTAGTGCAATTTTACATCTTATGCATCCTTTCTTCACTGGCCTAGCATCAACAGTATCTGCTGTTGAATAACCGGGACGCGGTCGACGCCTGAACGACTTTCTGATTCTCTCGCTTAACCTCCTTACAATAGACATCTTTAAAACTTAAACCAAGAACAGTCACAGAATTTCCATGATTTTTAAAGCTAAACTCTAAAATGATGAGCAAGAAAGTGCTTCAATATTCCTTGTAAGCAGACGTTTGAGGCCAACACATATCACATTACATCATGGGGAGGCACCGGGCCTCCTTGTCTGACCGCAAGCCAATTGCCATCCTCTCGTAAAAAATATAAATTGATACTGATTTAGTTACAGAATACTAAAAATGAAACTTGGTGAGTATTTATTACTTTTGCGAAATTTTAAGTATAATTTTCAGTTTTTGCAAACTTGAAGAATGAAATTTAACAATTATGATAGCGTTTTCTTTATATAAAGAGAGATACAGTGTATTATATATAGAGAAGAAACCCCCTTAACTAGAGTGACAAATTTTCCCTGATGGCAGGGCCATAGCCACTGGAAGGTTCCTAGGGGTAACAAAAATAGGGGTCTAGTGGACGAATTCACGAAAACATGTTTTGTTGCACCCTTCAAACGATGCTCTTTTGTACATATAAATAATATCAAGATATTGTCCAATATTATCTCATAAAATACACCCGATACTTTTAAGGTGAACATAATAAATTGTTTTTACATCCTAGTTGAGTTGGGTCTAGAAATTCTGTCATTGATCTGCTTCTACAAAACAACGCAATGTAGATCTTTCTCCACTCGTGCATTTTCTCTGGGACAGGGTTTGCTTTTGGTACATTTTTATGGGACACAATCAGGGTGCAAAAAGGATCTCCCATTTCTATGGATTTTTTACAGACCCCTGTAAATTTCCTGGCCGAGTGTCCCCGGGGTCGCTGTGGTAGCTAAGTTGAGCATACAGTTTAAATCTTACGAAATCGGTCCAACAAGTCGTGTTTTTGCAGAACGGTTTTTCTCAATCCGGGAAATGTCATTGTTGCAGCAAACAGGTTCACAAAAATGCTGCGTGAAACCATGAAAACGATGCTTTTTCGCCTCGCAGTGGCTATGGGGCTAGTGGTCTTAAAACTGGCTTGGTGCCTTAACTATCATATTTGTCCGACGCACTTTTCGGATTAGTTTCGATAAGTCCTTACATACAAACATTCTTAAGATGCCTCTGTTTCATCCAATTGGAACATTTCATACTTCGTTAATTGAAAATATGTCTGTCGACTTTTGTTAAGCTGGACAAGCAGAAAAGAAGTGCCATGCTTGCAAAACGATAAAAAACATGCGAACCATTTGCTTTTCTCTCTTGTCTTCCCTTGTCAGTCCAATGGGAATACGTAACATTTTGAAAAAAGCAGACCGAGACTTGACAGACGGTTGTGAAATCTTTGCTGGCACTTTTTGTTAACAAAATCAGATTCAAGACGTAGAATATCCTTTTGAAAAGTTCTTACAAACTTAAACTTCAGGATTGTAAACAATTACCCAGAAGGGTTGTTGAGCGTTTGTTCAGATCTTTAAATTAATCCATTATGATTTGATATTTTGGAAGCATCTAAACTATCGCCCCCCCCCCCACCTAAAACAAAATTTTTTTGCAAAATAATGGGGACCATGTCACCCTGGCCATGCACCGCGCACCAGTCTAAAAGTGGATGGGCTGAGAAGGGTGTGACCGAAAATTTTGTGAGGCCACACCCTTTCTAACGCTGGAAAACGCTCCTTTTAGAAAACACTTGCCTCTTTCCATTTATTTAAGAGAAGATAATAATTACTATGAAATAGATTAACAAGATAAGACGCCAAGAAAATGAACAAAAAAGGTATCCCAGTCAAGAAGAACTGCTACTTCCAAACTTTTCCAAAATTGCGCTAGAGCAAACTTTTAAAAATTTTCTAACCTGTTATTGCAAAAAAGTGGGTGGGCTTTAGCCCCTGCTAGCCCAATGGCTGTGGGGTGCCTGACCCTGGCTCCCTGTCTTCGGCGGCCATAAGAGTGAAACCGGCATTGCAACCTCTCTCCCCAAACAATGTTGGTTGAAAAGTTACTATGGTATTTGGCCAGAATCACATGGACAATCCGAGTCATAACTGGAGCTCTGAAGACTATAGAAAGCAAAAAAAGTTGAGAGGCAAGATGGTGGCGCTACACTCTTTTTTATAAGAACCAGTAAATTCAAGTTCAGGCTGACTGTTCTTAATTTTTTCGAAAATCCGAGGCTGGATTGTTCTTAATTTGTTCTTAAATTAAAAGGGTGTGAGCAGAGCGATTGCTAGCTTTTTCGCTCTAGGGAGTTGTTCAGGTCTTATTTGCTAACAAAGTGAGTTATACAATCTTTTTTGCCGACATGTTTGAATATTCACCGAAAAAGCACCCACACATGGTTGAAAATCCTAGTTTTTGAGATATAAGGTTGTTCAACATTTGCATTTTACATTAGCTCGGCCTCAGCTTGTTCTTAAATTGTTCTTATAACTTTTGACCAATTTTGAGGCTCGCGTTCTTATAAAATTGTTCTTATAAATAGAAAAGAGTGTATTGGTAATACACAAACATCTACTGTAGGGTACCAAGAGACGGCACTGTATAATAAGGATATAACTGGATTCTTTGGTTGACTTAAAGTTATTGTCTTGGCACGCAGACACGACGAACAATAGCTTTTGTTCAAAGAAGAAGAACTGCCGTGCAACACAGCTTCTCTTCGCCAAATCGTGTTAATTAATAAATGGCTTTTCTGTGATTCTAGCTATCCACATTTTAAATAAAAAGTTTTAGCCAAGGCGTGACAATATATGGATTAGCCTGACGTTTCGAAGTGAGTGTGTGTCACAAAAAGCAGATTTTGTAGCCATAGCAACAGCTTTGGATCAAATTACAGAAATTTGGTACAAACGAAAATATATTTGTTTGAACGTCTTTAGAGACCAGAAAGGAAACGTCTTTGGTTTCAACAATGTGCAAAGTTTAGTCAAAACGATACCTTTTCGTCCTATACCGAGCACTTTAAAAGCATTTGAGTCTTAACTAATGATGAAACACGATCATTTCACCTTGAAAATCTCTGACAGAGAGGCATGCGCCGTTCTCAAATCTAGTAAACTGAAGAAATGGAGTTTTCTTAATTGCTAATTAACAAGATTTGTTTAAGTTGCTGCTGCTGAGGCACAGAAAAAGTTTTTTTTGTTAGAAATCTAGCAGAATACTTAAAATAATTGATTTGAAAATGTTGGATCTAATCAATACTTCGTGATTTATGAAATCAAGACAATCAACAAGAAAAGAACACATCTACCCGCAGTTATTTCTACAAACGAGCTATATATTACTACTTGTAGATAAACACACTTTTGGCTAAAATGCTTCTATTCGTATAAAATACATTTGTTTTATGACTAAGGGAGACTTTGACCAGTGCATTGCATTTCGGGCTCAAGAAGCATAAACACTGATATATCAGCCAAGTCCTTGGAAATATAAATGGACAGCCAACAAAAAGTATAATTTCCTGGACAGAGATTAAGAAGGCCAGTGTTGAACTTTGTGTTTAGATTAAGAATGGGTTCAGTGGAATAGGTTATGTTTGCAGAACTAACTAGCACAAAGGTTAGTGGATATGTTCTCTGATTAAGGAGATTTTCAAAAGCCATGGAGTTTAATACCATAAGCCCATTGGCAGAAAATAAAACCTTCTTTTGTTCCTGTAGCTATAATCATTTTCTTTTAGAAAGCTAATCAGACAAACATGACAGTTCAATGGGAAAAAGTACTCCGTTTTTTATCTAACTGATACTCCAAACCTAAAACTATTTAAAAAAATTCATATAAAATAGGGCATGATTTTATCTTTACTATGGTGCAAAAACTGCTCTTTCAATCTTAGGAAACTTTCTTACCAAACTTTTTCAAAGCAACAGAAGCCGCCTGGTAACCAGGTGCACCCATGACCCCACCTCCAGGGTGAGCACCACTGCCGCAAAGATATAGCCCTTCAACAGGACTTTTGTAGTTCGACATGGCACTGACTGGTCTCATAAAATACAGTTGATCTAAAGAAATAGCTCCGTGGAAGATATTGCCACCGGTTAGGCCGAAAATCTTTTCAAGATCAGGAGGAGTCAATATGTCTCTCCCAACAACTGTCTCTTTGAATCCTGGGCAATAATCTTCAATGACGTCAAAAATTTTGTCAGCAAACCCTTCCCTTGTATCGTCATCCCACTGTCCATCTTTAAGTGTGTATGGAGTATATTGTATAAAAAGAGATAGAACATGCATCCCTGCTGGCGCGAGAGTTGGGTCCAACGATGATGGTATGCACATTTCAATGATTGGGTTGTCAGAGCATCTGCCACGTTGGGCATCCAAATATGCACTGTGTACGTCATCAGTTGTTTCACTATTGAGGTGAATAGTACATCGATGATGAGGAGAAGGTGTTCCATCTTTATTAGAGGGTGAAACTCTGAAATTTGGTAACTTATCAACCGCAACATTTATCTTAGTAACAGGTGAGGTGTAGTTAATTCTAGAAATGTTGCCACGAAATTCCTCCGGTAAGTGGCTTTCGTCAACTAATTTAAGAAACGTTACATCGGGGGTTGCATTAGAAAGAACAACATGGCTTTTAATGAACCTTCCGTCCGCGAGAACAACACCTTTCGATTCCCCATCAGCTATTGCAATTTCTCTAACGTCTGCATTTGTCTCTATGATAGCGCCGAATGATGTTGCTGCTTTGGCAATAGCCCCAGATACAGCACCCATTCCACCCTCTGGATATCCCCAGGCACCAATAACTCCATTAGCCTGACCAACCAAGTGATGAAGAAACACGTAACTGCTGCCTGGAGTGTGGGGACTTAGCATCGCACCAATGACAGCATCAGTGGCAAGAGATGCTCTGAGGGGCTCCGATTCAAACCACGCGTCAAGAAACTTGGATGCAGGTGTTGTCATTAGCTCATAAAATGATAAAAAGTTGCCTCCAAGGCTAGTCATTAATTTTAAAAGTGGAACTGCTGTTTTCAGTTGCTTTGCTTTCTCTAAGAAAGTACCTTGGCCAATAGCATGCAAATTCGGAGGCGGATCATCCAAAAGGGGACTTACAGCAACAACAAGTTTTTCTATGTACTCCTCATACTTTGGATATGCTAATGCATCTTTTTGTGAAAATTGAGCGATCTGCCTCACGTTTTCTTTCATGTCAGCTCCAAGTAGTAAATATTTTGGGCTTCCTGGCTCCTGACCTGGATTGCGTAATGGCACAAAAGAAAAAGGATCCCTAGAGTATACCTTCAACCCGTGCTTCTTAAGCTCAAGGTCTTCCACAATTTTAGAGCGCAATAAGCTCAGAACATAAGAGCAGCGTGAAAACTTGAAACCTGGTACAATTTCTTCTGTAACGGCAGCTCCACCAATAATGTGTCTTCTTTCTAACACTGCAACCTTTAAACCAGCTTTTGCAAGATACGCAGCTGACGTGAGACCATTGTGACCAGCACCAATAACAACAGCATCATACTTTTCATCCACAGAAGCAGATGCATCTTCTGGGACAAATGTTGACATGGGTGTGCTCTGTAAGAAGCCAAATAAGCGCCTTGCGCCATGAAAAGTGGAGCATCTTAACATGGCTCTGATAGGAAAAGGAAAAACTCTTTTAAACATGTGCAATTTGATAAATGAAAGTTATTCGTGAATTAAAAGTGTCTTTGAATGGCTGATTGTACTACTGGCAAGACATCAATATAAACATGCCTCTATGTAAAGGTTTGAGACATTAGAAGAATAAAATCTATCTAAATAGCTCGATATCAGGTTGAGCTCATACATCTAAATGGAAACATCTCAGAGCCTTTATTGAATTGAAGAGATAAAGAGCTTCTAACTCCTACTTGACTGCTGAGCAGTCAATTCTTCTATTCTTCTATTTTTTTTAATTCTAACTTTAAGAAAGAAGCTCGCATTTCAGCTTAACTACAAAAAGCTGCAGGTATATGCCAAGAACTAAGTGATGAGAAATCTAGCTTCAGATAACAAGCCACGCAAAATTTGAAGATGGCACGAAGTTGCAGAAACACCTTAGCATACTGAGAAGCTTAAGAAGTATAGTTTGATGTGTTTCCCCTATTTTGTGCCATTTTTAAATAGCCAGATTTAATGATTTTGTATTTTATCCGATCAGTATTTGCTTCTTATTAATTTGAATCAAAAGTAAATGGCTGCATGCTTAGATTATGTCAAACCAGCAAACTTACTTAGTGCCATGCAATTTACAAAACGTTGAAATTTGAACTATGGTGTCAGAGCATGGAAAGTAAAAATTCCTCTCAATTTCCATCTCCAAACTTTAATCTCGTGAAAGATCAAAAGCTTGACAATTTCAAAATGGAAAGTGATCGAATTTTTAAGTTTCCTCATCATAGTGTACCAAATTAAGATGTCATGGAAAGTGGTTGGCTCTAGCAGAGGCAGATCCAGAGCAAATTTGAAGGAGGGGCAATTGGTAGAGGAGACACTGAAAAATTTCAGAAATTGGTGACAAGTGTACGCTGTATACAACAATTTCAGTCCCTAACTACTGACAGAAGGCTCTCCATTCACTTTGTAACGGAATTTTCACAAAAATTGTTGTATTCTTTGAGGTAATTCTTGAAGAAAATTAACCTATATACATCTCAGAAACTCTTTCACTTGACTCTCATTCTTGAAAAGGGGCGCACAATTTCCAAAAAAGGGGCACCAGACTTCCTTCAACTCAGTGAGGGAGGGGCAACTGCCCCTAGTTGCCCTCCTTAAATTTGCCACTGGGCTCTAGCATTTTTCCTTCTCATCAAAGTGGAACCTGAAGTGACCAAAGGAAAACTGTTCATGAAAAAACATCTTTCTGGGAACTGAAATTTTGCATTGAACTTTCATCAAATTAAAGGGGGTGAGTTTGTTAAAGAAGGTTAAAATCAAAAGTTGTACCAGAAAAACAGTACTGAAAATCCCCTTAGAGGACCTCCTATGTAAGGGGACCAGCATACAGTTATGCTGCAAAAGGTTGACACACAATTTTTCATGAGGGGCAACTATATAAGGAACCATAAGGTAGAAGACCAAAACATTTTAGAAACTTTCATCTATTTAAGTCAAAATTCCTTGGGAAACTTTTCAAATTTGAATATTTCTATCACTCCAAGCAATCAAGAAAAAGGTTGCTTGAATGATTTTTGGTATACAGGGAAAAGCAGTATACTCTGATAAAGCCCTGTATCCAAGGTGAAACATAAGTTGTACATTTAATTTATTCTAAAATTATATTTGTCGATTTATTGGATTCTCATCATCATTTTGCTTTGTGCCTGTCTATTCCCTTTTATCCAAACTCAATACAAGATTCACAGAGTCTGGCAAACATCCTATCCAGCCAACCTGCTCCTCTGTTGTGCAAGCTTCTGGCTGATAAACACCAGTATTTGGGCAGTGTCTTAGAACTTGAAAATCTCTGTCTTACATGCTTCTGTGAACACAAATGCACAATGTATTTTATTCGCAATGCTGTGCAGAAGGCATTTTGGTATTACTGTTGTTCTTAATCCCCAATGAAGAAACCAAAGATTTAATATCATTTTGCATTCACTTGTGGTTTTGCAACTTACAGGGGCTCAAACTGTCAGATTAGCTTCTGAAAACCAGAAGCACCATGGGACCTGATACAATAATGCTTTTTTTATATCCTTCTAAGATGGATTTGGCATCAAATAAGAAAGATGATCCGTTGTTATGTTTTTTTAGAGAAAATGGGGAACAATCCTCCCTGAATTGTCTAATTTTTTATGATTTTACCCCAATGATAGACCTCTCTGGTGAATTGGAAGATCAACAATTAATCGAAAATACCACTCTCCATACATAATCTTCTTAATTTGCTTGTAGATTTGCTAGGGGCAAGGCTGAGGAGAGGGGGTCAGGGTGGTCACTGATCCAGGGGCCTATGGCTAAAGGGGACCCATAAATAAAAATAAGTCAATTAGAAAAAGTTTTAAGTAATTGTTTAACCCCTCCATTATTACAATCTCCATTATTATTACTATAATATGTCAATTATAGTAATAATATTTACAGAGGCCTGTAAATGAAATCAGGTAGAAGCAGAAACAGTAATTCTCTAACAAGGTATGTAGCTTTGGGTATATTTTGTTAATAATCATCAAAACAATTTCTATTTGTCAATTTATCTATTCATGAAATGCCTTTCTTGCTTTTGCCTCTGCAAAATATTGCTGCAATATCAATATTTTTGCATATGCAAGGTTTTCCTGCAATATCAGTCTCTATGGACATTGAACCCAGTGAGCTGTGTCTGTTTTGGTTGTTGGTAGAGCGAAGGTAATTCTTTATGAATAAGAGTTACTGAATGATCTTCCAGCCGTCCTTAATGCAATGAAAACCTATGAAAACATTTAGAAATAAGCCTTGGAAAGTCAAATGCTAGACCTTGTTCAATGAACTGCAATAGTTGAAGCAACATATCAGATATTGCGTCTTCAGTAACATTTACAAATGAATTGAAGTTAGAAAAAAGTGACTCATCAGTGATTTAAGGAGATATGTTACCCAGGGCATATCTAGTTGGGGGTGCAGGGGTGGGTCCCTCTGCAGCTTCTTCTGAGTTTATCAGTAAATCTTCAGTTGGCTCAAAATAACCCTTAGTTTATCGGTATGACCAATTGATAAGTGAATAGGAAAAATGGCACCTAAATTTTTCTTCTGAAGATCTTGGAATAGATATTGAATTCACAAAGTGCCTGTTCCTGGATTTAACTTTCAGATAGAGATAAATTTTTCCTGATTTCTCTTGGACTTCAATTTTTGGGACATCTAGCTCTTCAGCTACATGAAAAGCTTCTCTAAGGTCGAATCATAGTCAATAGAATCCACCTGTTTTTATTGACAATCCAGCAGATGCTATGTGTCATCTTTTTTAAATAATTTGAATAATGAAAATTTGTTTCCAATTATGATTACTTCTTTAGCGATTTTAGCAAGTGATCTTTGATCCTTTTTCATATCTTTAGACCTTTTAAAACACAATAAGATTTGTATATTTAATGACTAAAAGCTTATGATGCATCCTGGCATACATACTGTATGGTATCACTCAGTTATGTTTAAATTACATCAAATTAGCCAACAGAAGTTATAGCCACCATCGCAATTTTAGCAACCATCGTCTTCAAAAGTTTCTGCCGGTCCATCCTAGCAGATTCAGCCTCAGGCGTGCCTTCCTTTTCATCTTTCGTAGGGCACACAAATCCTCTCCACGGGCCTGGCTAGGGGTAGGCCTAATCCAAGTAGGGAAAGCAATCATTTATTACCCTTGTCAGATTACTGTAGTCAGTGGAGATAATATGATGTAGAGCATATATATCAATCGATGAAACAATGAGGTACGTACATGCTGACGTTGACCAAGCAGGAACAGTCTTTTAACTTAGGCCAGTTCTGTTCTGTTTCAAACACTTAATTATGCCAAAACAAATGTGAAATTATGCAAGGTGGTAAAAAAGTCTTTTGTGTGATGGTCCACGGCTATGCGTCGTTTTCTGTTTTCATCATATTTTTTCTCTTCCTTTGTCTGCTTTCGAGAAACTTGGCTTACAGCATTGCAATCGAAAAATTTTCCTCTATTTGCCTTTGTCAAACAGTTTTTTTAAAAGCAGACCTTGCAGGGTTGCTTGAAAAAGTTTTGACGCGAATGTAAAGTGTTATTTTCGATCAAAAGAGATAGGCTACGCTACGCCCCCTAGATATAACTACAATCTGCTGGTACCCTGACGAGATAGGATTAATAGCAGATTTCAATTTTCCTAACGGAACTGTTAATTTGGTTTACAATCAAGATCAAGTTACAGTAATTTGATGAACCAATTTGTAACGCATCAACATATTTTGTGCAATTAAAAATATTTTAAAATGCTCTTTTAGGTTACCTACTAAAAGTTACAAATTTCTAAAAACAAGTTTTTGTCAAAATACTGGCTAAGTAAAGTATTTTGGAAATTTAGATATCCCAAAACATGAACTCTCCTGAACTCTAAGTAAAATATTTTATGGTGTTTACAGTTTGAATTAAACATACTGTTGCCATTTTTTGAACCATTAGATCTAGGATGATGGGAAAGTAGAGTGAGCCAATAAAACAACACTTTTTTCTAAACTGAGGAATTGTTGATCATACTCAAATTTGAGCCACTTAGACCAAAGAAAAGTGCCTGGTCATGAGTCTTTGGATAAATTTGATGGCTTTATGTGTGTTTATATCGATACATATGCAAACTATCAATGTAAAAGAAACACACAACCTCTTAATGCAGCCATCATTTTCAAAACGATACCAAAAAAGTTAGCTTACGGCGCACCAAAATGATACAAAACTCGTTTTCCAAGAGTTTTAGAAATTTGAAAAGTATGATGGTGAAGCGAAAGGCATCATAAAAAGCCACTTAAAACTACACCGAATTCTAAAATATATTGTTGTAGGCAGCTGAAAGAATTAAGAATCTTTATGTTAGTCTGTGTTGCGGAAAAGCAACTGTGCGAAATACATTTTAGCACCAATTCAAGATGTCACAAGATTGCTGTTAAAATTCGTAATTGAACTCTACAACGTTGCATGTAGAAAATCCTTTGCTCTCCACCCCGCAGGCACGTAAATAATACGGGGGCGTGGGGCGTAACGCCCCCCCCCCCCCTAAAATTTGGAAAAACCAGTTACAGTTGGAAATCTTACCGGTTGACTTGGATTTTTTCTCAAGACCAAACTTATGAATTTTACATTTTAAGAATTGTGAGATTTTAAATATAAAAAGTTTAAACCTTGTTAAAATTCACAGGCTGGAGCGGACCCATCCACTAATCGTTTTCTATTGTGAAGCCCCGTCTCCACTGGATCCAAATTGCACAATTGCGCCGTTTGCTTTCTTTCTGGCGGGAGTTAAGGTGAATCAAATTAAGAACACGCAAAATGGATTTCCGAATAAGAAACTTGAAACTTTACAGTTTGGAATAATAATACCTATTTTGATCAGAAAACATTAAAATGGGAGTTTTTTAAGAGAACTGCGAGTAGTTGATCCAATAAAAAAATTAAGAATTGTTCAATATTAAAAATTCTCAACGCTTCTTATAAAAGACGAGTGTATGCTAAACTCCCCCTGTTGTTTGTAAATGTCCTTACACTCTTTTTTTATAAGAACAATTTTATAAGAACACGAGCCTCAAAATGGGTCAAAATTTAAGAACAAATTAAAAACAAGCTGAGGCTGAGTTACTGTAAAATGAAATTTTGAACAACGTTTTTTCTCAAAAACGACGATTTTCAGCCATTTGTGGGTGCTTTTTCGGTGAATATTAAAACATTGCGGCAAATTAAGTTTGTCTCTAAGCACTTTGTTGGCAAAAGAGGCCTGAACACCTCCCCAGAATTAAAAGTTAGAAATCGCACTGCTTATACCCTATAAATTTAAGAACAAATTAATAACAATCCAGTCTCAGGTTTTCGGAAAAATTAAGAACAATCAGCCTGAACTAAAATTTACTGGTTCTTATAAAAAAAGAGTGCAATTCATTAACATAAATTGCTATGATAAAGCTGCTGAGAATCAAGAAAACATTGCAAAAGCTGCAGCAGAAGTATTTGCTCAAGGAAGGGTGTTTCATCTTACGAATCGGGTATATGCACTTGCTCTCAAATCATCATTTTAATTAAAAAGAACGAAAAGACATTTGGCCCTCTGAAAATTGCTAATAGTTCCCTTCGATCAAAGAGAAAAAGATAAAGGGCTCAATTCCTTGATGCTTCTTTATCGTGAAAAATATATTTTAGATAAAATTGATCTGCATCAAATAGATTTAAAATGGGCAAATCAGAAAAAGACTTCTTACAGTAAGTTTAAATGCTTGTGTCATGCTAATCCAAATTTAGAGATTCAGGTTTTTATGCCTTACGCTAATTATTTTGAATAAAATTTTGGTGATTATAAAGAAACTAGCAATACGGAGTAAGGGCTATTTCCAAACACCTATTTGGTAGGTACAGTAGATTCGCAGGTGGAATGAAAACTTTATCAAATAAAGTTGGAATTTTCATCCCTCCACGCCCCTCCAAAATTAGCCACTTGTTTTCCTCGCTGCCACCCCGAAACAGGTTGCCTTGCTAGGGCGGTTGATATCTTTTCAATATGCCAGTGCACGAACCGAGCAGCAAAAACTGAAGTGCTCTTATTGTGGAAATCCAATTCAGAGCTAGTGTTTTCTCTCTGAAGAAAAGAAAATGTCATTTCGAAAACGTAGAATCTTATAAAAAGGACACCTTGAGCCCCGTATAGGACCTCTGCCGACTTCTTACATTTTTAAAAGTAAGAACTTTTCTTGCATCGCTTCATCAGACACATTTCCCAGTTCTTCTTTCCTTTGCTTCTTCACTAATTGTTGGTCATATTGCTGCTTATTTTATGCAACATCCAATACCATTTACATTTGACGCGTTGCTTTACCTTTCTTACACGCATTATGGACCTTGAACCTTTTCTAAGCGCGCAAACATTTCTGCACACCAATGTAGCCTACTTTAAAGGGTTAAGATGGGATTCAAAATGTGGCTTGCAAAGGATCGATAAACTAGTACTGACGATAATTATCGAAATTAATTCCAGCCTCCCGGTATGATGAATATCATAAGTTTTATCGTGATTGACAGAAAGGGTATTGAACTTCTAGCTGCCAATCTTTTCCAAATGAGTAGCAATCCTACTCTTTCTTTCAATATTTTTTTATCAAAATTTTGGGCCAAAAGTTTTAATCCAAGTTTAAAATGCAAGCTTCAAACGGAACGTAAACAAAAAACTTTAGGAAAATATCTGTTTCTCAATGACATCCCATTGCGCTATTCATTTTATTTTGCATTGTGGAATGGCCCAGACCTTGGTTTGGTGTTTTAGTTGTATCAAAGAATCATCTCTTCTCATCCCCAGAATGCACTATAGGTATTGCAATTTGATTTTTTAGGGTCACTTTGAAATCAGCGCAAAAATAACCGCTAACTCCAAATTTTTTATGAAAATCAAGTTTTCATTAATTGCCACGCTCCTGCTTCCACAAGCGACAGCCCTAGGGGTCTATTTGGCGCACATATATGATACAGAGAGGTTACTGTAATAATAAAGCTGTTGAAGTAGTAGTGATGTTCAAGCATTGCGTGGAATTTCCTGTAGGAGCATTTCTAGAGGAAAAGCCAAAATAAAAAATTATTAACTCTCTGGGCCAGGGCTTCCACTTTCCAAAAACGATACTTCCTATTCTTCTTTCTAAGTCCCTTCCCTGAAATTAGAAATTTCCTTCCCTAAAATTGGAAATTTCCTTCATTGAAAGTGGAAATTTCCTATTCACTTCCTTCCATGCATATTGCTACAATGACATAGCGCTCAACTAATTTTACTTGACCAAAATTGTACGATAAAATGGCGCCCACAACTCAATTGTACAGCAACAAACAGAAACAGAGAAATATTGATTCCATTAGTGCATTGAGGTAAGGTGTAATTTACAAGTGGGTGGATGGACATGATGGCGGCAAAGGGGCACCTCCGAAGGCTGCGAACTTTAAACTACCACTTGAATAAAATCTTACAAATGGGTTTGACTTTTTACAGTTTTACAGCGTTTTTGTAGCACGTCAAAGCAAACAGAGAGTCCTTCAAAGTAAAAAATGAACTGGTTATTCTTAAGAAGAAACCAATTGAAAAAATTGCATGGTCAAACCTAATTACTGATGTATTCTTTACTTCAATTATCAACAAAGTACTTAACAAAAGAGTAAATTGATAATAATATTGACTCTATATTTTAAAAAATTTACATCCAAACAAAATACTTACAAACTCTTCCAAATTTAAATCTTTGCTAATTTTTATTAATCTTCTAATTCGTTTTAGGTATCAATTACCTGCTTTTCGTTGTTACTACTAAGGTAGGTCAGTCAAGGCGCTTGCTAATGGCATGTACATGTGACTTTTGTCGATGGGATGAAACTCCTGCCCGCTCATCATGAAGTTAGTATTGTTGTTGTTGTTATGGTATGGAGGGACCTCGAGGGTATGATCTTGCTCTGTCTTTACAACTGTATTTATGTCATCGTTTGTAAAGCGATATGGCGAATGGACACAGTTTATGTTGTTCATCGAAGCTGATTGAAGACCTGACACTGAATGTTGAGGCTTAATTCCTTCCTTTGTGTCCGCTGATTCTTGATATTTCATTATCTTTTGTTCAAAGTTCTCTCTGTTATACAAAAGAAAAACATATTAGAATTTACTATTTCTTAGTTTCCATTATTTCAATTTTATATTTGTATTCACTACCTTACAGTGGCGGCTCGTGGGGCAAATTTTTGGTGGGGTTGATGACGTAATATTCGAAATTTAAAGCCATAGACACGGAACGCCAAGAATGATAAATAGCCTTTCCATTCTTTACTATCTCTAAACAACAAGGCTGCCATCATTTTGAAAGTTTTGATCGAAAAAACATGGACCGTTTCTCTCGTCGCAAAAAGAGGAGTTCGTGGGTGTTGTCCATAAAAACATAGTCAACTTGAACATGGCCAACCTGTAGACGATATCCGTTGCATTGCATATCATGGCGATTAAACAATTTTAAAGAACAAAAAGTTCAAACTGTTAATTGATTAATTTTCGTATGCCGTGAAACTAAAATTGTTCAAGTTGAAAGCCTGCACTGGAAATATGCTTTATGGCATTAGAAGGCCTACGGCCTAGCCTTCCCATTCTGAGCTTATTCCAGGATCGGCAAAATAATTCTGATAAAGACCTAGCTTGCATTCTTTTTTTCAAAATTTTAAAGCTGAAAATGCGAGTCATCGAATACACGCCACTCTGCTGCGTTCCACTTCAAGATCAACGTTGCCTATCA